TTGATAGTTAAATTGCTTGTGGATTGGCTTGTTTTTTAACTTTGTTAGGCCACGTTTACAGTAGCATTTTAGTCAAGGGCTAGTTTAGCCCTGCTACGAAGCTGTGAGCCTTCTGGAGTCCTGTCTGAATGTCCTGTGCGTTCATTGAGTCTTTCCACTGAGGCTGGTTGGCAGTCAAATTATTTTAATCCCTGTTCAGTTTACAACTTTCTTGTATTTTGTCTTTGCCTGACATTGTGGAGTTCCTCACCTTAACATGCTTGGCTTTGTTTGCAGCCAGATTCAGGGGAATACCATGCGGATTTCTAGAGCCTGTAACCCACACAGTTCTCTCTTCCAGTACTCCGCTGTGCGCATTCCAGTTGGTTTGCCCCTGACCTCTGCCGCCTTAACCCAGTGTGACTTCCGTGCTCTGCTTTGGGTCTTCTGTCCTTCAGTTTCCTTTAATGTGCCTTTAGGTGGAAAATTTGGGCAGCGGTGCGGCTCACTTAGGTTTCTCTCAAGGAATGCAGCTCTGGGCTGCCTTTTGATTAGCCAGTGAAAACAGTTTTTTTATACATTTTACCCAGATTTTTCATTGTTTAAGGTGAGAGGGCAAGTCCAGGACTGATTACTCTACCAAAGCCCTATATTTTTTATTGTTAACTCACATGCAAAGATAATTTCGTCTGTGGCCCACTGAATAGTAGTGGATTTTGAGACAGCGTTGTGTGCCAGAATTTTCTGTGACAGTGGAAGTGTTCCGTTTGCATGTATCCGAACAGTAGCCCCAGCCGCACATGGCTGTTTAGCACACGAAATGTGGCTAGTGCAGCTGAATAACTGAGATTTTTATTAATTTAAATTCAATAGCCCCGTGGTTAATGCCTCCTATAGCGGACAGTACAGTTTTAAGGTTTTTCTCTCAGTATTAGAAAATTTCAACCTTCCAGCTTTTGCATATAATAAAAGTTCCTGTGGTTGATTTTTAACATGCCCTAATTTAGAAAATTATTCTATTATAAAAGTTAGTTACATGTTCATTGGAGATCATTTGGAAAATATAGAACATACAGTACAGAAAATTTGTCACACACAACTCCCAAAGATAACCAATGCCTGGACCAGGGATTGAACTGCAACCTAGGTATGTGTCCTGACCGGGAATCAAACCCACAACCTTTCAGGACGAGGCTCCAACCAATTGAGCCACACTGGCCAGGCCAAGAATAATATTCTGATATATTTCCTTCTAGTCTTCTGTAGAAAAAAACTCTTTTAGTGAAAAAAAACAATTCAGTTTATTTTAAATATTTCTGTCTCACAAGAAAATGTTACATGTATAACAAGGTTAAAGTGAGGAAGCTGTGTGTCCTGGAGAATTAGCTTTACTCTGTTTGTCAGCACAGGGTCGCACAGCCCAGACAGGCTTCCCGGCCTTACAGGTGGGTGTTACGTGGGAGCAGGTTCAGGAATAACACATTTCTTAGGAAGGGCTTATTTCACTTAACTGTGTGTTGCAGATTGGTGTGTAGCAGAAAATAAACATCTTGTTTTGCTATTGGCTACTTTCTGACAACAGCCAGAGAAAGGCCAAACATAATTTAATATTTGGCTCATCTCCACATTAGAGGAAGTGATTTGGATGCTGCTTTCATTTCCATTGTTTGGGTAACTGCTGGGCTTGAAGGTGTTCCAGAGGTTAGGGTCCAAAGGCCCGGCCTTCAGGGGCTTCATGGTTTATTTGACAAGTACACATAGTGGTACTTTTCTTCTGTTTCTCTGGAGAAGAAAAAATTAAATGTTATTGTTTATTTTAATAGTGCAGAATTTTGTAAAATTAGATAATCTCATTTTTTTTAATTAAAATTTCAACTCCAGTTAATATAGAAGTTATATTAGTTTCCAGTGTACAGCATAATGATTAGATGTTTATATACTTTATAAAGAAATTACCCCAGTGAGTCTAGTACCCATCTGACACCATGGATCATTATTACAATATTATTTTTTATTTTTTAAAATATATTTATTTCCACCCTGGCTGGTGTAGCTCAGTGGATTGAGCATGGGCCTGCGAACCACATGATCACGGTTCGATTCTCAGTCAGGGCACATGCTTGGGTTGCAGGCCAGTTCCCAGCAGGGGACACACAAAAGGCAACCATACATTGATGTTCCTCTCCCTCTCTCCTTCCCCCCTTCCCCTCTAAAGATAAATAAATAAAATCTTAAAAAAAAAACACTTTAAATTTAAAATATATATATATTTTTTTAATTTAAAGTGTATATATATATAAATTTAAAGTATATATATATATATAAATATATATATATATATATATATATATTTATTTCCCTTCACTCTGCACCACCTCTCCCACCAGCATTCCTCCCCCTTAGTTTGTGTCCTTGGGTCATACATATAAATTCTTTGGCTTCTCCATTTCCTATACTGTTCTTAACCTCCCCCTGTCTGTTTTGTACCTACCAATTATGCTTCTTATTCCCTATGATTCTCCCCCCATTCTCCCTTCTCCCATTCCCCTCTGATAGTGCTCCATGTGACCTTCATTTCTGTGATTCTGTTCCTGTTCTAGTTGTTTACTTAGTTTGTTTTTGTTTTTTTAGGTCAATTTGTTGATAGTTGAGTTTGTTTTCATTTTACTGTTCATATTTGTGATCATCTTTTTCTTAGATAAGTCCCTTTAACATTTCATATATAAGGGCTTGGGGGTGATGAACTCCTTGAACTTGACCTTCTCTGAGAAGCACTTTATCTGTCCTTCCATTCTAAATGAAAGCTTTGCTGGATAGGGCAATCTTGGATGTATGTCCTTGCCTTTCATGACTTGGAATACTTCTTTCCAGCCCCCTTTTGCCCGTAAGGTCTCTTGAGAAATCAGCTGATAGTCTTATGGGCACTCCTTTGTAGGTAACTCTCTTCTTTTGTCTTGCTGCTTTTAAAATTCTCTTTCTCTTTAATTGTGGCTAATATAATTATGATGTGCCTTGGTGTGTGCTTCCTTGGGTCCAACTTGTTTGGGACTCTGAGCTTCCTGGACTTCCTGGAAGTCTTATTTCCTTTGCCAGAGTGGGGAAGTTCTTCATTATTTATTCAAATAAGTTTTCAATTTGTTGCTCTTCCTCTTCCACTTCTGGCACCCCTATGATTCAGATGTTGGAATGTTTTAAAGATGTCCTGGAGGTTCCTAAGCCTCCCCTAATTTTTTTGAATTCTTGTTTCTTCATTCTGTTCTGGTTAGCTGTTTATTTCTTCTTCTCCAAACCATTGATTTGAATCCTGGTTTCCTTCCTGTCACTGTTTGTTCCCTGTATATTTTTCTTTATTTCACTTTATATAACCTTCACTTCTATTTTGCAACCATACTCAACCATTTCTGTGAGCATCCTGATTACCAGTGTTTTGAACTGTGCACCTGATAGGTTGGCTATCTCTTCATTGCTTAGTTCTATTTTTTGGAGCTTTGATCTGTTCTTTCAGTTGGGCCATATATTTTTTTTTTTGTCTCTCTGCACCTGTTAATATAGTAAGAGGCGGAGCCAATGTATCATTGGCTAATGTCTTCTTCTGCTCTGTAGGTTGTTTTTTTGTTTGGTTGATAGTTTCCTTCCTTTCCTATGCCAAAACTTTTTATTTGATGTAGTCCCATTTGTTTATTTTTTCTTTTGTTTCCGGGCCTGGGGAGACATATCCAAAAAAATTTTAGTACTAAGAGTGATGTCAGAGTTTACTGCCTATATTTTCTTCTAGGAGTTTTACAGTTACAGACCTTTCATCCACTTTGAGTTTATTTTTGTATGTGATGTACAAAAGTGGTCTAGTTTCACTGCTTGTGCCCAGCTTGGGGCTCTCTGGTAGGAGCTATAAAGTGATCTGCAGTTGGTTGCTGCTTATGCTGGTCTTAGAGCTGCTTGGGAGTGGCTGTTCTGCAAACCAAGTCTGGCAGCTACTTGCTGGGCTTGGGAGCCTTTGGTGGGCTCCATGACATGAGCTGAGGCCAACTGCCACTTTTGCAGTTTTGTGGCTGCTTAGTTGGGGCTGTGTTCCAAGGTAAGACTGCTTGCTACCTGTGCCAGGCTTGGGGCTACTTGATGGTAGTTACAATGCAAGTCGAAACCTGTTGCTGTTTATTTCATACTTGAGATAGTTTAGCTAGCTCAATGAGGACAGCCGCAGCTTTTGGGTGGTTCGTGGGTCTCTAAGAGAATTTAGGAAAGTCCACAGCATAAGCTGAAGCAGGTTGCCTGCTGGGAAGACCTGCCAAAAGAACTTCTGCTGGGCACCCATGTTGGGTGGGGTGGGGTGGGTGGGGTCTCGGAATCGCCTGAGCAGGACCACTGGTGTTAGCCAGGTTAATGGAGAGCTAAGATTTGGGCCTTCCTCTGCTGGACAAGCTGGGTGCGGGAGGGCCCAATTAAGGAACACTGGCAGCCTGGGAGAGAACAGCTCTTACCCTGCCTCTCTGGCACTTTTCCCTGAAGCTAGTCAGTTTAGTTTCTTCGTTTGTGGTGCTTTTGGAGCTGCGGCCCCTGCCCTGGAGCCCAGTGGAGTGACTTTGTTTTAGCGAGCCCCTATGCCAGCCTCTCAGCAGGAATACCTGGGACTCCTGCAGCCCTTGTTCTCAGTTCCATACAGTCCCGGCTGGTTTGCACAGCCAGGTGTTACGGGGACTCCTCTTCCCACCACTGGTGCACAGGGCTGAGGCGCCCCAGTGGAGCTGAGGCCCTTTGCTCCTTGACACCTCCACAGCCGAGGTCACATCACCCATTTCATGTCTCTGTCTCTCCTACCAGTCCTGTAGTGGCTTCTCCTTTATGTCCTTAGCTATAGCATTTAAGTTCAGCTAGTCTTCAGGCGGTTCTCAATTATGATGGTTTTATAATTTAGTTGTATTTTTGCTGGAGTCATGGGAGGCGGCGAACAGTGTTTACCTACTCTGACATCTTGACCGGAAGTCAGTACCTATCATTTCTAACTACTTAAATCTTTTATTTAGGTGAAACATGGAATCCATTAAAACTTCATTATCAGTTAAGAAATGTGCGGGAACGATTAGCTAAAAACCTGGTAGAAAAGGGCGTGTTGACCACCGAGAAGCAGAACTTCCTCCTCTTTGACATGACGACGCACCCCCTCACCAACAACAACATTAAGCAGCGCCTCATCAAGAAGGTCCAGGAGGCCGTCCTCGACAAGTGGGTGAACGACCCTCACCGCATGGACAAGCGCCTGCTGGCCCTCATTTACCTGGCTCACGCCTCGGACGTGCTGGAGAACGCATTCGCCCCCCTTCTGGACGAGCAGTACGACTTAGCCACCAAGAGGGTGCGGCAGCTCCTCGACTTGGACCCCGAGGTGGAGTGTCTGAAGGCCAGCACCAGCGAGGTCCTGTGGGCGGTGGTGGCGGCCTTTACCAAGTAGCCCCGCCCCGAGGGGCGTGTCCTCCTGTCTCTCTCCGCCGACTGCTTCTGTTCCACGGACTTCTAGTTTTCTGCAATTTGTACTCCCCTACACTAACATTGGCTTTTGTTTTATAAAATAATAGGAAGTTATTTTTTTTTAATGTACACAGGATTCTGCTGGTACGAGAGGCCTTCCTCTTTCTGTTTGAAAAGTTTTACTGCCATATTGGCATTCCATTCTCACCATTACCTATTTTGAGTTTCTGGTGTGCTTTGACTCTCAGAGTCCCTCCGGTCTGGTCACACGTGCACCTTTGGGTTACCTCCGGTTGAGTTTTTCCCATAGGCATGTGCACATCTCACAGTCTGCCTGCAGTTCACACAGAAATCACAAAAAGGCCTTTAATTTACCAAAGGTGAAAAACTGTATGAGGACATTTTATGCATAGACCTCAGTTGAGATGTATACTTAGTAAAATTATTTTTAAAATTTAAACAACATACAAAATGCCCCTTGAATTTTGCTTTCCATGAAAATCTGTTATGCTATTTGTTAGTTTTAATTATGAAATCATACAGGTCCAGTTGTTTCACAAAGCCAGTTTGGGATGAGCTACATTCCAGGTATGCTGTAGATAGTTTGAATTATATATAAATTACCCCTTCTTCTGGCCTCCGTCTTAGCATTTTGCAAGATTTAATCAGTTTTACACCTGGTGCCCCTCACTTCAGTTACTATTATTTGAGGGCAAAATAGACCTCTCATCATTGAAGGAGAAAGAGGTGTGTCTGATTGGTCCGGAGGTTCCTTGAGCTGTGCCATTCATGACACTCTTTTTGCAGTTTTTTTGCTCTGTTTTATCATTTCTGTAGGGAAGAGGCTTGTGACCAGTACTAATCTTGAGTACAGTATTTTTGTTTGTTGATCACAAGTAAATTAATGTCTTCTCTTAAATCTCACTTGTCCACTTTCTTGAAAGAAAAAATCAAATCTCACTTATAGCAGACACTGCATGTAAATTGTTAGCAAGTAAAGACCAAGGTCAGATGATGAAGAGTTTTATAGTAGAAAGCTCTGCTGCATTTTAATTTTTATATACAATTATGACGATTAGCACATTGTAAGAATATAAACTTTTGATTTTTAAAGTTTATTTTTACTATTTCTTTATTACTTTATTATATACCACAATTCGTTTCATAATGTAAATACTATATAGTGAACAAATTAAATGTCAAATTTTTTATTATCATAGTTCATGTCAGTAGTGGGGCTTTCTTCAGGTATGTAGAGATTTTTTTTTTTTTTGGTTAAAATTCAATGCAAAAGTACTAGATTGTGAATAACTTCAGATTTGAATTTTAAGGTATTCCCTAATATGTATACTATGTTTTTATCTGAAGTAATAAATAAACTGTCATCTTGAAAGTGCCTGAATTAGAGCAAGTATGTCATTTGTATTTTTGTATTGAGTTTTCTTTATAATGAAGTTTCACTTACCATTGTATAGCGTGGTAATAATTCAATACAAGCTCTTCTTAAAGAGCCACGTAGTAAATATTGTAGGCTTTAGGCCATTGATGGTATCCGTTGCAGCTACTCAACTCTGCTGAATGAAAGTTGTCGTAGACAGTGCAAATCAATGGGCGAGGCTGTGTTCTAACAAACCTTAGTTACAGAAACAGGCGACTCTTCATGGGCAGTAGCTTGCCAGTCCTTGTTCTGACGCTGGAAGAAGACAGATTTTCTCTCCATTGAAATAACCTCCTTTACCGCCAAAAATGACACTACTGGTGGTAAGTATAGAAAGTATTAGTTTATAGGTTCTTCCCATAAAATGGATACTGGAAACTGATGACTAGTATTGGAATTTATTTTCAGGTGAAGATTTATTGTTTTATCCTCAATAAGATTCTAGAAGTAACGGCTCTTTCCAAGGGAGCCTTAATTTCAGCAGCGTCAGGATTCTCAGGCAAGGGGAGAAGCCCGGCCCGCTGCGTCAGTGTCGTGTGGAGCCCCACTCCGGCGCCGTGCGGTCTGGAGGGAAGGTTTGTCCAGAACTCTTTCTCCTCCTCAAAGCTTGGATGGTGTAACTCTGTGAAAACATTGCGTGTGGTAGGAGTGGTGTTTTCACAGGTTCTTGGTGCTTGGGTTAAAAGCCTTCAGATCCAAGAATCAGGCAGTGAATTTTAATATAAAACTTAGATAAAGCTCTGTCGTGCAAAGAATTAGTTGCTGTGGCTTTTTGACCAGTGGTTTTTAGTTGAGGTGTATTCCTTAAAATAACATGATCTGGAACAATGTTCTAAAAGAATGGAGAAAGGAAACTTATTGAATGCATGTTCTGTGCATGGTTAAGTATTTTATGCCTTGTTTGTTTTGACCTCCCAAAACCCCAGTTACAATCTTCATTTAACGAAGACAGGCTTGGGGAGGATGATTCGCTCAGTCGCACATTGTGTGGTAAACATTTGAGCTCTAAAACCTGAAGCGATTGGGTAACAGTAATGGCATTCAACTGCAATTTATCCTTCTTATCTGGGCACCAGGCGGGGGCTTCTTTTCTCTAACAGACCAGAATAGCAGGCAGGCATGCCAAAAATGGTCATACTTGTGCAAAATAACTGATAAAAAGGACATCCCTGTTCTATTGTACTGTCTTGGTATATAACTCACATAAATTATTTCTTAGGGATAAAAAAATTGACTAATTCTATATATTCTCAGAAGAAAAAAGCATTGCCCAGTGTCCAGTGGCCAAAGAAGCCCCCGGCCTGCTGCAATGGGACTGTCCAGGGGTCTCTCAACATGTTTGGTCACTGGGTTCTTCCCATTGTGTGTGTACAGATGGGTCCATGCTCTTATTGCATATAACACGTCTTTGAATTTGGTTATCACCCAAGAGAAAGGGAAAGAGGCTGCTGTCTGGCCAGTGCAGTGGTGATACTGGACCAGTAGGTAATGACATCCAGCCTGATGATGACCAGGCGGGCATGGCCACTTTTGCCCTAGGAGCATGGAAACCATCCATCACCAGTCTGTGAGGTATTTATTTTTTGCGAAGTTCAATTCTGACTCTATGGCCTCTCTGTCTTGTATTCACTTACTATGTATTGTCATAATATTTTTCCGTTTCACTTTCATTCAGATCAAGGTGACCGATAGACAGTCTGAGGCAATTTCCAACTCATTGCAGCCCGTCAGGTCCCAGAATGCTGTGCCTGGCTCTCATAATTACATTCTGCCCAACTGTCACACAGTCTTCAATAGTGCCAGCGAGGTAGTGTTAATATTCACGACCTTGCAGGCTGTCCTTCAAAGGGCTGTGGGTGGTAACGTCGTTCACGTTGGTGTGCACGTGTTCCCCTCCCGACAGTGGAGGGAGGTGGGCGTTCACCACTCCGGTGTTGCACGGTGGTTCCCGTTAGCGTCCTTGTGTAGTGGTGTGGTGTGCGGTGTGCTTTTTGTGCTTGCATGGTGGAACGCTTTCAGAATGAGCGCACATCATTCTTTTTAATCATTTTTGGCTTCATTATGTAACTTTGTTAAATCTCCTATTAATGGACATTTAGATTAGTCTCATGTTTTTCATTATTGCAAACAGTATTTTAACGTGTATGTATCTTTATATTTGTCTGACTTCTGTAGGAGGAATTAATAGAAATGAATTTGTTCAAACCGTATGCCTTGAAAGTGTGAAAGATAACGCCAGATTGATCTGTAAGATTCATGTTCACTTGCATGTCCATCAGTGATGTGAAGGCTGGTTTCCCTATCCCCCGGCTAGTACCAGGCTAGTAGAGGGTCTCATTGACTGGTCTTTGCCGAGCTAATAGGAGAGAATTAACAATTTGTTGTAATTACTGGGGTGGGGGGGGTTGGTTATCATTTATTGTCTTTATTGGTAATTTGTATTTTATTTACTCTCAATTACCTGTTTGTGTTCTTTATTCATTGTTTGGATGGACATCTTTCTACGAATTGATTCATCAGGACTTTTCATGTATTATGGATATTAACCTTGTGTCTGTGATGTACTTGGCTTCTCCCAGCCTTCAGAGTTGATATACAGTTAGTTTTTTTTTTAACATTCAGTAGAACGTCAGGTTCTGTGTTGAACATGGGCTTTGTGGAGACCTTAATTGTCCTACTGAAGTCATCTGCATGGTATTCAGGTTTGGGGTATGTATATTTCATAAACATTTTGGGGGGTATGATTAATTATAACAAGTACAAAAATCATATAAACAAATGTATATCTTATGAGTACACATGTATATAAGCATTCCATGTAATTTTTACAATTACAATACATGTAGAAGATCACATAAACAAATGCAGGGGCTGATGAATTATTTTATGGCAAATATGTTTGCAGCTGTCACCCAGGTCGAGGGGTGGAACTCGGCGGCTGTGCAGAAGCTCTTCAAGGCCTCCTTCCAGTTACTGTCTCCTGGTCCCAACCCAGTGTACGTCTCATAACTTTGTTCTCTCTCATCTTCTTTCATTTGTCATGTGATTGTAAGTTTCTCCTACTTTATAGGTTCTCCTCCAACCCCTCATCTCTTGTTTATTCCCTTGCTAAATATTTTTTGATGAAATTGGATCACTTGTCCTGAGAGTTTCCCAAAGTTTGGACTTTGCTGAGTGCATCTGCATGTAGTTTAGTGTGTTTCTCCGACTTCGTGCTTCCTGGGAGCTGGTCGCTGGGTCCTGGGGCTTCAGCAGAGGCGGGTTAGTGTGAGTGGTCAGCACTGTTTCCTGGACGGCGCCTGCTTCCTGAAGGAAGCACGTCTCCTCTCTCGGCCTTTGAGGTGTGAGCAGCCTTGTTGCTCAGTGCTCAGATCCTGCACCTGGGGGTGCAGAGGGGTGATGTTTTAATTCTTGGTTTTTTTCCTTTATTAGCTAGAATTTTGCTATAAAAATTTTAAAATAAAGAATTTTGCTTACCTTTATTTACCTTTTAGTACAATTTGTAGAGGAAAAGTGGGATGCATTCTAACCCTAAATTATTATTAAATACATAATAATCCTAGCATTCACCAAAGGTGATTGATTAGTTTTTTTTAAATACCATAAATTTGTGAAAATACAACTTGTTTTATCTTTTAGTTTTCTTCATAAGTACTACCAGGATTCTCTATATGGAAAAGCGAAGATACAGCTTTAAGACAGAAGGTAGAAAAACTTTGTAGTTCTAAATTTGAATAGGAAGTATCAGTGTAACCTTAGGGGGTATTTCATTTTTTCCTTTTTTCATTGTGCAAACAATGTGATATGAGACTCACTGTTCTAACCAGTTTTGCGTGTGCAGTTAGTTCAGTGCTGCCACTTTGTGTCGGTGCTGCTGCATCTGCGTTGTCAGAACAGTGCAGTCGCACCCCGGGGTCTCCCTTTTAATCATCTCAACTCTTCAAGTAAATACATACATACTTAATAAACACTAGTTTGTTAGTCTTCTGAAAGGGCTTCTGATCGCAGCATTCCCTGAGTTGATATGCAGATGACAGTTTATCTTCAGCCTTTTATTTGAAAGTCAGTTTGGATGAAATTCTTGGGTCACATTTTTTTTTTTCTCAAAGTATCTTTTGTTCTTTTTGTCATAAAGCATTACTGTCAAAGTCTGATTAAAATATTATTTTCTTTCCCACATGAATGCCTTATTTCTTTTTGCTTGAAACCCATGGGATTTTCCTGCTAATTTTTTCCCGGTGCTGCTGTGGGGTGTTTTGGTCTTGGTTTTGGTTGTTCTGGGATAGAACGAGGTGTGTTCTTTCAGTGTCTAGTGTCAGATCTTTTATTCTCTGGAAGCAAGGGAGGGAGGTGGATTGGAGGGGTGGGGAGAAAATATGGGCAACTGTAATTGAACAATTAAAAACCTAAAAAAGTAATAAAAATTTTTTATCTTCATTTTCAGGAAGAGGGAAATTTTAGTACTTGTTCTGCTCCTTCATTTAGGTTTTCCCCTCAGAGTCTGGTGGAGGGGGCACCTGTAGGAGTGTGGCCGGTGGCGTAGTGGTGTGGGTGTAGCAGTTTGTAGTGTTATCTTGAACATTCCGCCTGAAATCACGGGGTGTGCTTGAGTGTGGTATTGTTATGTTCCAGAATTACATGCTTACGGTTTTGTAATAAAAAAGGCATCATTTATGCCAGACCCTGTATATCTTCTGTATTTGTCAGCTTTGCTTGGGTGCTTTTCTCTTTATTACTGATCTTTAAATATTTTACCCTTTTTAATCTTCTCTTATTATTGTGTTTATTCACTGTGAATGATCTTTTTAGTTTAGTAGTTTTTGCAATTGTTTTTCTCTGAGGTTTAATGCCCAGTTTTTAATTTTTTCTAATTTCAGTTTGTATTATTCACATTTTCTTCATGCACTTTAACTAATTTTGAGGTATTATAGTTTTCGTTGGTTTCTCAGGCACGTCTTTCTGGTGGGCTTTTGCTGTCTGGAGGGAGTGTGTTTGCTGCTTACGCTCCTTTTTCTTCGTGTGGGATTTGAACTAGATCATCGTCTGGTGCCCATTTTTACATGGTTACCGTTCCTGGTCTGTGAGGAGGGCAGGTGGGTCAGGGTAGCTTTTCTAACTGTGTTTATTCTCTAGACCTCTCTCTTCTGTTTTGGTGGAGCATAAAGAAATATGACGGCTTACTCTCATATCTGGCCCTGCTCCCCGTTACCTGGGCCCTGTTTTTCTTGATCTCTGATGTTCTTGTCCCACTCAGCTCGCATTCTGTTCCTGAGATGTCTCCTCAGTGTGGGGAACTGGCAGGTCTCTTCTGAGAGCACGCGACCTGCATCAGCCCTCTGGACCTTGCTCTGGGAACCCGCGTACTCGCCCACTGTGAGAGGGTGAAAAAACTAGTCCAGTCTCCACAGCCCTGACCCAGTTGCTCCTCTGAACTCCTGCCGATTATGGAGCGGGGAGTGGGGTGGGGGGGTCTCAGGGCCATAAGATGCCCTGTCACTTCCTTCTACTTGGACTTGCACAGATCCTACTACCAGATTGCTTTTGGTAGTTTTCCCCTGCCCACTTATATATCTTGGTGTTGGGAGTACTTTCACACTAAGTTTTGTTCTAGATGTTTACCAAAGTTTTTCTGTACTAGTTGCTCCGTGTGTGTGTGTGTGTGTGTGTGGCATTGGCGGTGTAAGGAGTAAGGAATGCTGGGAGATGAGATTTGAAAACTGTCATCTGGCTTGAATCTGCTGTGATAGCCCCCATTAGTTTGTATGTAGTTTGGTTAGGTTATGAGTCTATGGCTTTATAATAAACCTTCTGAATTTACCATCATACTCACTTTATGATTAAAACAATGTATTTGGCTTTTTAGATGGTTTGTTTTCCTTTCTTGCTTTTAAATCTGTGACCACCCTGGAATTTTATTTTGTTGTCAGGAATTTATTTGGTGCCAAGGTATTCAGCACCGCCCCCCCCACTTGCCACCCCCAAATACCTAGCCGATTTTTCCAGAACCAGTTACCGAATAACCATGTTTTCTGCTCTTTGAATTTAGAACGTTCCCTTTGAATTCAGAAATACATACACGCACATTTGGCTCTTTTTCCAGTGGTTTGCCTGTCAGTTCTGTGGAAGAGGAGCCACTGTTTTAATTATGGGTGTCTCTGATAATAGGGCTAGTCCCACTCCAACTTTGCTGTTTCAAAATTCTCCTGGCTGTTTTTACATGTGGACCAAGTGGACTTCAGAATAATTTTTCAGGTTAAAAAGTTCTTTTGAGATGATGATCAGACTTACATTATACTTACAAACTGGTCTGGGGAATTTGGAATCTTACAGTACTGAGTTATCCTGTTCACGAATAAGCTGTATCTATCTCCCCATTTGTTTGAGTGACTTTTGTTATGTCTCTTAATAAAATACGTTCTTTTTTCAGGTTTGCCAGCCTCGGCTAAGGTTAAATATATGTTTCCATCACTGTTGTGATTCAGTGTTTTTTGCCATCTGTGTTCTGTTGGTTATTATTTATATATAGGAAAGTTCTTGTTTTGGTGAATAATTTGATAGCTACCTTACTGAATTCTAATATTTTAATAATTTTTAAATCGATGTGCTTATGTTCACATTGGCCTAACTATATCATGTACAAATTATGATACTTTTGTTTCTTTTCACTACTTACCCCTCTTTAGAAATTTTGCCTAATTGTATTGGCTTGTACCTTCAGAACGTATGTTACTCAACAAACATCTTTTTCGTGTGTTCCTGACTTTAATGGGAGTGATTCTGGGGCTTTTCCAGGCTTTTAAAAACTGTCCGCTGGTATCTTTCACAATGTTTTTTCTCTTTTCTCCTACTAATCTAATGAACTACATTTTGGATTTCATAACTTCAAGCCATTTCATGCATTCCGAAATTAGCATCATGTAGGCGTGGGTTTTGCCGAACCTGATAATGGAAGTGGGAGGTGTTGGGGGAGGGTTTTTCCGAGCCTGTCCTTGGCCCAGCACTACTCAGTGGTGGACCTTCAGGGCTCCGGGTGTAAGCACTGTGCAGTTCTTCCCCCAGGACGAGAGAGGACAGTTGGATGCAGGCCGATTTTCCCCTTCACTCAGACCCTCAGCCGCCTCGGCCATGTCGGACTTCAGAAGGGGTGTGGATCAGTCAGTGCCTGCTGTGTCCTTCCAGCCAGCGAGCGGTGGCCGCTGATCTCGCATGGAATCAGGTTAGCTCTTCCGTCACAGGATCCTATGTGGCAGGGGCTCCCCTCAGATCAGACCCCCCCCCCCAAGCCCTCACCTGTTACTCCTCCAACCCACCTTGGCTGACCAGGTGCTGTTCTGAGGAGGGGAAACGGCTCCGATTCTAGTGCTCCCTGCCTTTTCTAGGGCCCGCCTCCCCCTCCGACTGCATCCCTCCAAGTTAAGGGTCCTCAGAACTCCTCCATACCACCTTCGCTCTCTCCCATCCAGAGGGCACGGGATCCCACTTCATTGTTCTCCTTCAGTTGCTCTCGGGGCTCATTGTACATGTTATTCATAGAATTGGTCTGTGGCTATTTCTGGATTGTATTAAAGCCCTAGTTTTCCTCTTTGTTTATTTCAGTGGGTTTCAGAGAGGTTCCCCTAGCCAAAAGCTCTATTCTAGTAGAGCCAATCAGAGTCTGACTTTTGGGGGGGTATAGAGAAAATCAGGCAGACAGCCTGGGAGCGAGTGGGGCCAAAGTTAGGACAAGAGCATTCGTAAATCTCTAAGTCGAAAAACGGTGAGAAGAGCTGGGGGGAGGCAGCCAGTTGGTGGCGAGGAGTGGGGCCTACAGAAGCCGACCCACGACCAGCGGCGGCGGCCTGTTGCTCTAGGGCCCCTTGTAGGACCCACGAGCCCCCGAGTTCCTCTGGGCTCCGAGGCGTGGTCACAGGCTGGGTCCCATTCTCGGATTTCGGTGAGATTCCGTCCTGCCTTCTTAAGTGGGCTGCTTCAGGTTGATGCCTGCATCTTAAAATCGAAAGAACCCAGATAAGGTAGATGCTTTTTGTTTCACTCTGTGGGGTGGAATCCCAGATCATCCGAGTATTCTAGGAGAAGGTGAGTGGGTGGGGGTTTTGAGAAAAATGAAGAGCACGGTCATTGTGAAGAATGAAACACCAACAAGGAAATGTCTGCCAGGTAGCGTGGGGTGTCCATTTGAGGTTGGAAACCATGAATTTATAGCAGCCTTGTTCTGTGTGGCCGTGGGGTTTTCTGTAGGACTCAGCATGTAGAAACCGAGCAGTTAGCTGGGTGGATGGCTCTGGGGTTTGGGGGGGCAGGGGGCTGAGCCTGCGGGCAGGGTTGCACTTGCCATGGCGTCTAGTCTAAGGAGAGTTGGGGTGAAGGGAGGTTCTGGTGGGGGGGAGAACGGGCAGTTGTCAGCGGGCTTGTTGGGATGGGAGACAGGCGGTAGTAGGGAGTGAGGGTCAGGAGGTCGTGGCATTGGTTTTGGAGGTTTCAGAGGTAGAACGTGGTGCAGTGGTGCGAGATTCTGAGTGCAGCTGTGGGAAGGAGTGATTGAGTTGATGTTCTGTTGCCTTTGTACATCTTACCCACTTAGATAATAATTTAGATCACATCTTGACCTTTCAAAAGGTTATTCTGGAGATGCAGAACTAGAAAAACTAGTAAGCAGAGTGTTTATTTTTTTTAAAATTACTTACAAAAGGTTGTTTACAGAGATGTGGGTTTACATAACAGTGACAACATTTTAAAATGTACAGGCTATTTCATATTATTGCACTTACTCTTTAATAATATAAGGCATTTTTACTTTACATAAATAATTATGTATATCATACAACCAACAGGTGCGGTGCCAATTAGGTCAAACAAAGTTAAATGAGATGCATACGGTAGAACAGAAATGAACTCAACCTACTTCAACCTTCATGGTTGATCCTGGCAACTATGATTCACGTATCATAACACATATTTACCCTCATAGCTTATTGTGAATGACCGACCAGTTAAAAACCAAAACAATGAGCGTTTTAGTAGGACAATACCATTAGTGTTCACTTCAGAAACTGTGGGAACTTATTAGACTAATTAGAAATACTAGTCATGCCTTGAACACTGAACACAAATAAATAGCTCTCTATCTTAGGGTCAAAACAGTTTAGCTTCTGCTTCCTCCCTTATGTTCAAACTGTCTGCCAGGGAATCCTTCCAGCAAGATCTATGAGAAATGGCTGATGACTTGAACAGAGTTTGGTGAGCCAGAGGTCCGCCCGTGCATTCCTCAGGTGCGAGTGAGGGTCGGACACTCGAGGGAGACCCCCCCCACTCCCCCACACTGCTGGGCATTGCTCTGGAAAGCCCTGCCCGGTCACAGAGGACAGGACTGCTCCTCGGGCACAGCTGGGAGTAGAGGCCAAAATCTGTTTTCAGTGTTGACTTCAAATAGTCTCGTGTCAAGGAAACAAACCACAAAACTGACCCCCAAAGACTTAAAAACAACCTAGCATGCAGCTTGCACTGAGTTTCTAGAGTATCCTACCTGGAATTATAGTGGAAAGTAGAGGCTAAATTAATCAGGTCCTTGCTAATTCCTGTACTACATTTCCGCTTGTATAGCCTGTTAAAAAAAAATGAGAAATGTAGGCTCACACCAACCAGACATTTCACTCCCATCTGAGAGAGCCCTCTGGCTCAGATGCACAGAGGTTTATTGGGATCATACTCGCAGAAAGGTGGTGTACAGAGTTGACGGCTCAAGCGCCTCCGTGATTGGGGGTGTAATGACCCGAGTTCCTCTTCTAAGCCACGGGCCCAAGCTGCAGGTTATTAAAGACGCTCCAACATAAAACCTTAGCGTCGTGATGTTCACAGGTGTGCAGTCTCACCTGTATTCCCTAAACTCAATCAGCTAGCCTGTGCCCCCCTTGAGAATTTGGATAGTAACTACATAGTCCTGCTCTTTTACCTTGAACGAGGGACTTGCTCTTGTTCTCCATTCTCCTCTTTACTACCCTTTGGTGAATGAAGCTGATGAGAAGTACGAGGGGAGAAAAGCCCATTTTGTGACAAGGAACAGCACCGATGAAGCTCCTGCTTTGAAAGGAGAGCAGCTGGGACAAGTTTCACAAGCAGTGTGAGTAACAATGGTCTTCTGTAGGGTAGCAGTTGGGCAAAAGGAAGACTTTGCAAAACAGACAAAAATAGCAAAACTTCAGTCGCTGCAGAGGTATGTCATTACACCCAGGTCAGCAAAAGTGATCCAATGCTTAGAAACAGCCCGTTTTTTAAAGCTTGCTGGGAAGGGGAAAGGAACGACCAAAAAAGTCCCTTGAAAGAACTATTTTAAGCTCCTCTATTTGGATTGTAAATATAATGCCTATGTTTATAAATCCAAGGACACTAAAAAGATACTTGATTTCTAAAAATTGAAAATTACTGGTTGGAGTACATAAAATACAGGCATAGAAACCCAGTGACTGCAATGGTTCTGCCTGCTCTTGTGTTGGCCAGTCTTGAACTCAAGCTCGAATTCAAAACCAGTTCCCAACTGAATACAAGGTGCTTTCAGAGCTGGAACTTCCTGCTTAGCAGCAAAGTTCATGGCTATTTAGTACAGTTGATCAGAACTGCATTTCGGTAAAAGAGCCTTCCGACCTACACTTCTACGAGGTTACGACCAACACGCCATGGTGCTCAGTAACCCACTGAATTGTACTCTGCATCTGTACATTGCACATTACACTCACTAAAACACACCACTTCCTGTAGTTTGCTTTTTCACTTTGGATAATTCCTGAGCTCAGCCTAACCATTAGGTCATAATTGATTCATATATATATTTTTTATGTCTCCTTTTCCAGGTAACATCCAGACCACGGCTCTCTCCATTGCATGTCCCTCAAGTCTGGTTACTTACAAATTTACATAAATCTGGAGTCTGTTCAGTTATGACGTTTGCACGGACTCTGTGGGCTCCCTAGTTGGGTGGATCAGGTATGTCAGGCGAGGTGGCAGAAGGGAAGCGAAGGTCCAGCTGGGTGTTGAGAGAGGGCCGCATGCCACTTCTGTATCCCCATCAGGAGCAGTGAAAGCTGGGGGAGCAGCGCTGCGACAGAATGAACCCTCCTGGCCTGGGTGGTCCTGGCAGAAAGCTCCCAGAGTCGAGCTTCCTGTGTCAGTGAAAGTGGAGATTTTTGTGGTCCTTGCCCACGCCAGTGCGCCTCTGCTGTTTCAGGAAGCCCTGGTGTAAAGAAGTCTGATTTGCTAAGGTATGGAGGGGACAGAGAAAGGCGACTCTCGTTCACAACTGTGAGTGTCCCCACTCGCGCTGGTCTCAGGAGGCATTCCTGTGCTTCCTGATCACCAGCTGCACGGGTCCCTCGGGGACCGACTTCATGATGTTCCAGGCATCGAAGTGCAGGAGCCCCACCAGGGGTTTCCCGTTAATGGCGAGGATCTCATCCCCAGCTTCGATTGTTCCGGCCTGTTCAGCCGCACCGCCTGGGGGAGGGCACACAGGACATGGCTCGGTACTTTCATGGCATTTGCAGGGAACTCCAGGGGCACAAAACGCTTCACTGAGAAAAAGCTCTGTGTGGTCTGTTGGTAGTCTTAGTGCAGACACACAGCACGTGTGTCCGCAAGAAGAAACCTGACCGCCTAAAAAATTCACGTCTGTAACCCGTTCTCCTCCCCCTGCAAAACATAAGCAACCTAGGGGAAGCTATTTCAAAAGAATACAAAATAAAGAGAAAGTTGAACAAAGGAAATCAATGGCTAAAAATCCAAATGGCCAATAAATGCAAAAAAAAACACCAAAAAACAGGTTTAACTTCTAATTGTTAACAGACAGTGGTTAACGTATTCAAGTTTGACTGTGGAAATATACTTTTCCACTTAAACAGCTTTCACATATTTACACTACAGCGTGGTGTAGGTTACAGCAAGATTATGGGCTTCGAAAAACAAGTTTAAGCCCCCTTGTATTTACTTTCTTGCACATACACATCTAAAACAATTGTGAAAAAGGAAACACACTGGCTGTGGAAGCACTTATGGAAAAAAGGGCATTGAAAGAAAAATTCCCAAATATGAAAAACAATTTTCTCATAAAACTGACCAAATGTAGCTATCCCATCCTAAATTTTCGAGAATCACTGTTAAATATTATATATGTGTACACATGATTATGGTTGATTGTAAAGGTTAACAAAATAATAAAAATATAGCTGGAAGAAAGTAAGTTCAAATCCAACTCACTCAAAGAAACATTTTAAGTTCAAATCCAACTCACTCAAAGAAACATTTTATGTTGATGAGGCAGACACTGTCCTTAGTGTAAGCCAACCCTAACATGAATTTTTAATACAGCAGTGCTAGTAATTAGCATTGAATTTAGTTATAAAACAATACTAATATTCAATGCGTTAACCCTATCAGTATTATGAAATATATATATACCGATATTGTTAGTATAATGATAGTTAGTATATTATTCAGCTCAGGAAGATACTTTTGAGAGCGGTTCAAGATCATAAATGCTTCGGGTTCACAAAGAGCCCTTATATCTACCAACTGTTTTACTCCCCTTAGTCTGGGATTTGCAGACTTACTTACATGTAAGTCTCCCTGGCTGGCTGTTCCGATGGCGTTACTCAGCTGGGCACATTCGTGTGAGTGAACCTGTGTTCACTAAGAACACAGACAGGGATGAGGAGTTAATGGTACAAAGAAGTTGGGGTGCAGACTTAAAGCTACACAGCCTGGTTCTGCCACTTGCACCTGGAACCTTAGGTTCCGGCCCAAGTCCCTTATGGCTTAGTCTCTGCTTTTGTAAAATGAGGGTGATGACAGGACCAATGTGACTGGATTGCCGTGTGGGTGACGTGAGTTAATAATACATGTGAAACACAACAGGGCTGATACCTGTTAACCCTGGGTGTCAAAGCATCAGAAACACTTTGGGTGGTTAAAAATGAGTCTGATTTCCAAATGGAGGTGCTGATGTACACAGAAAGAAAACAGTGGGTGTGGACTGGGTGTTCTGCGGCCTTACCTTTGTACACTCGTTTAATGAACAGAGGCCCATCCCCAGACAGGGACGGTTTCCCTCCGTCCAGGCTCAGTCCCAGCCCGGCCGCAGTCTTCAGCACTTCGACGCACAGAGCATCGTGTGCGGCTGTGCTTCTCCCTGCAGTAAAGGTGAAAACGATGGCGCTCACTACCTCCTGTGCAGTCCCCCCAGATGTGCGACCCTGGCACACTCGAGCCCCATCTACTGTGAAGTGCTGGCCACGTCTGAGACCGGAGCCCTCCCGGCACCCTGCTCGGCACTGTCTGCAAGTGTGGGGAACGCTTTATGCCCGAGCGGACTCTCCAAACCCCATACCGCCCGGGTCCAGCCCCCGCACCGCTGGTGCACGTGTCGGTGCAGACTGGGGTTCACACGTGGGGACTGAACGTGCGCTTCAGAACCCAGAGCAGCGCCTAGTTCCGAGTCAGTACTTAGTGTGGCTTCCTGGGACCCTTGCTGTGACAGTGCAGGGCACACGGCTTTTGAACCTCTCTTTGTAAGCTCTTCTTGGCTGATGAAAGTCTCTCTAGACATGTCTGGCCCCTCGTTTCCTCACGTTTTTCCACCACAGGCAACAGCACAAACCCTGGTGTTTCCCAAGGACACGTCTCAGCCTGGAGCTGCTCTTTCAGCTTCGACTCCCCCATCACAACAGTTCCTTGTTCCACTTACCAGCCACTTAAGTCCTAAGAGGATGGAAATGCGCAAGGGCTTCCTCCTTAGGACATTTAAAGAAGCTGTCAAATAGCTATTTTAATCTTCAGCAGTCTGGCTTTAACTGCTGGATCTTTTTTTAAAAAAATCACTTGTCACACTGCAAGAATCATCCACAAACACCAGACTTCGCTACATTTAATTTCTCTGACCCAGGATATGACGATTGCCGTCCTTTTCCTTTGTGTTTAACCAGAGTCTGCACCGCCAGCCGCTCCTACCCTGTGGGCTGGAGAACGGGAGCCTTACCCACTCCGGGCTCCAGGGAGATGCTCTTTCTGGGCAGGGAGCCCTTCCCGTTGGCTGTGGGTGGCTCCTGCTGGCTGGAGGGCCTGGGCTGGCTGTTTCCTTTCCTGATGACCACAAGGACATCTTTGTGCATCTGTGCCTGGTGCAGAACCTTCAGGACGTCCCCATGGGCTAAGCCAGCCAGTGAAGCGCCGTTGACTGACAGAAGGACATCCCCTCGGTGCACGGTCCCTTCCTGAGAAGCTGCCCCCTGAGAAAATACCCTGTGGACCTGGGACAAGGAGGGGGCAAAGCCAAATTCATTTATGACCTCCAGTAAAAGCCAAAGGGTAACTGTAAATCTGTAGTAAAGGGACCTTCTAACAGCAGGTTTTCCAAATCACCCAAACACTTGTGAAAACGTATTCACTGTGAGGGATGGAATTCCCACGTCAGTGCCAGCATCTGAACACATTTTTGCTCAACCCCTTGCTGGTATCTAATGTGTGCCTGACACTCACGGGGCAGTAAGGTACAAGGAGGAAGGGGACCAGACCTCGTCCAGTGAAGGTGGCCTCTCATGATCTCAAAAGGCCTTGAGTGATACAAAATTTTAGGTGGTGGTTCTTGAGAAAACCACTGTAATTTCATAAGCAGATGCAGGCTTGGTCAGTTAATTCCGATGTTTTCTGCATAAACTGAACTGGGGAATTTGAAGCTATAGATAACTGGTCACGTGTGCTGGCGTTTCCTCGGTCACCCAGCCCGCGCATCAGTCAGCTCTGTGTGAAGGGCCTGTCTTCGTGAATGGCAGTGCTCTGCACGACCTGCCCGCCTTCCCACCATGTGGGCCCCCGTGAACGAAGACCAGCAGCCTCCGAACTCACGGACACGGGTTCTGTCCTGGTCAAACCCGAGCTGCCTCTGCAGTGACCCCCTGAGAGCAACCCGGCATCGTCACTCACCACAGTCGATGTCGGCTCCACATCTGACCCTCCGGCCACACTGAACCCCAGACCTGAGCCTTCTTTTTTAGTCAAGACTACGAAGCAAACATCTTCTTTATTCTAGTGAAAAGAAACAAAAATAAAAGTGTATTCCTTGTGCCAAGAGTAGTGAGTGCTGATAAAAATCGCCCTAGAGTACAGAACTGAAATCTATTGCCAAGAAGCCCAGTGGTTTTCCAGGAGCTTTCGCAGAGAATTGGGACTGGAAGAGCCACGACTCGGCCGTGCTGCGCTCCTCCCGGGGGGGGGGGTCGCTGTATGAGTTTTTGAGGGTTCATCCTGTAGCTCTACCACTACAGAAAGGTGGGCATGAGCCAGGACAGGGACATCTAGAAGCTAGTGTCACCATTCTAGGCACCAGACTGTCTTTCCAAATGTGATCACAAATGTGATCCAAATGTGAAACTGTAGAATAAAAGGAGTTCTCTATTCTACAGTTAAGTTATAGTTTTGCAAACAGCTAGGCAGCAAAGGGAGACGCAAAAGCGCCAAGAGCCGGGTAAGGGCACGCTGAGGCCGTGAGTTCAATGCGCTCCTCCTCCTGTGTTCTGTTCACTGGATTCCAGGTGCAGTCAGTGAAGCAGTACGCACAGAGCACCAAGGATGTTTGAAGTGAAAGTACGTTATACTATTTAAAGTACATTGAAACTGTCAACTCGTAGTGAGCTAGTCTACCACGTTCTTAGGAGGATCCTGAAGTTAAGTAACAAAAAACTGCCATATGTTTCAAGTGTCAATTAAAAGATACGTTGACAAAAGGTTTTAAATAAAATGAGCTGGGCTAATTAATAATGCTGAATTTTGACTTCCTCCACCCACACACTAGAGATGATTCATCACCATTTTAAAGATCTGTATTGCTAGGTTCCCTGTGAAGTGATTCATAATCCATCAACTCGAGGTGTTCTCAAACACAGCAGTAGAAAAAGAATGTAATCATAACCTTTAAGGATTGCTTTGATGAGAAACTGAGAAAGTTGAAAGTGAAAACTCCCTTGGTACCGTGCTGGGGAAGGAACTCAGTATTCGAAAGTGTGTGGTTCTGTTAGCAGGTCCTAAGGGCTTATCTTAACGCATTTCCAATTTCTCTGACGTTCATTCAAATGAAGGCTCCATATGCCAACAATACAAAGTCCCACAGAACTTTCAGGGGTTGGGCTTCTGACCTGATGGGCAAGTTTAACCTTGTATGTGTTCAGACACAGTTCAGTGGAGAGAAGAATGATGACTAGGTTTTTTCAACAAAAACGGGACCCTGTGGCCTGGCAGGTGATCTACATGTAGCTTCTCAGAGGTAACGTTTGATGCTGAAAATAGGAATACTTTTGTTTAAATGCACTATTGGAGCAGAGACAGATTATTTGAAAATATTCTGCATCCCAGAATGTTATCACCAAAATTTTAATTTACTAAAAAATTTTTTTCCCAGTTGCTTTTGAGGATACATGTGTGCAGACCAGATTTTGCCTCAGAGAGAGGCTTAGCCCAGCACCGGGAAAGCGCAGCCCACCACCAGGGCTCCCTGAGCGTGGGCCTAGAGCGGTCAGGAGACCGGGGCTTGCTTTCTGACTCCGGACTCTCAGCACCCCAGAGGCCAGTTGTCTCGGGCGGTTCCATTTTCAACACCGACAGACAGTACTCATTGGAAAGCAGCAAAGCGGGGAACTTCTGGTCTAAAGATGGCAGAGTAAGGACCTCCCTGCTTACTGCTCCTCAGAAACCAACTGAAGACAAAGGGGAGAAAGCTGCGTTCTGATGAAAGTAAGCATGATCTGCACCAAGGCACAGTACCCACCTGGCTGGCCGTGAACATGGAATCAGGGTCTGGGTGAGGGAGGCCCCAGAAGATGCCCCCAGGGGGCGCTCAACACCCTTGTCCACAGGAAAAGTCTCTACCTGCCTATGGTCCCCAAAAATGTCCCATCTCTCGTGAGGTGGTTTGAGAACTTTCACATTTGGCTTTGTCCTTTAACATCTGTCTGAAGTAAAGGTGGCCCTGGGCAAAGTGTGGTCCCCGACAGGAAATCCCCCAGTAAGACTTTCCACCTGCAGAATGCTTCCTTACTGTAGCAAGTCCAGGGATGGAGGGAGATTGGGGAGCAGTCCCTTTCACTGAGGGTGAAAGGCACTGCACGCTCAAGGCCTCTCCAGGGCACAGACCCCAGCCAGTGGGCGGGAAGCCAGGAGAGGGGGCTGAAGGGGCTCAGTCTCTGTTTCACCCCCCACCCCTCCCCTGGCTCCCTCCTTAGGGGTCAACGTGACAGCCTTCTAATGTGAGATTCCTGGAACAGTGTCCTCAGGAGCTACCAGTGACCCCGGCACATTGCCACTCATGGAAAATAGCCCAGATTTGCCTCCTTTGCTGGGAACCCCAGGGCAACTCAACAGACGTTAACTCATTTCCCCAGCAGGTGGCGCCCTTGACAGGTAGTTTATGTCCGCCTTCCCTAGCGATTCCAAGTTGCCTGGTTCTGTTTTGAGGACTCTGTGCAGACAAACTTGAAATGTGGGGTGGGGTGTGATGGGAGGTCAGTAACGAGTGGCCACTGGGGAATTAAAATGGCAGCTACACCAATCTGGCACCTAAAAATGCAAGACAAAGTGTGGCTTTTAAAGCAATCTGCAAGTGAGACAGAAGAGAGACCTGAAAAGGCTCTCTGGATCTCTGAGCTCGTGGACGTCCCGGGCGTGGACCTGGCCGAAGTCTCCTCTCACTGTGTCTTCTGTGTTTCACTCACCTCTGATTGTGCTTTCGCCTCCTGCATGAGCGTCAGGACGGTAGACTTTGACCTCACCGAGGACAAAACGGCCTGTAATCTTTGCTGGTCCCCCACAGACACTAGAAGCTGGTCCAAACTAGATAATACAAATGCATTAGGAGGATATTAAAGAAAAAAAAAGCAATTTCTCAATTTTTAAGGACGCATTTAACACAATCTCTTTTCAACTACATTCTAGGTATTGCCAGGAGGAATTACTATGGATTCAGGGATTTCTCCAAGGTGTTAGGGGCCTGATGTGGTAACTTAGAAAAATTTGATGCATTCAAAACTAAGCAGTGTATAGGCCGCAGTGCTTTAAAACGTTAGGAATTCCGTTTAACTGCAGTCACCTGAGGCCCAGATTCTCCCCTGAGGTGCAGCCTCCCCATCCACCCTCACCTGGAGCTTCTGCCTAAGCCCCTGTCCCGTCAAGCCCCTCCTGAGCTCACTGTTTTGGCACTTTTCCCTGCAGCAGGCACTTCACTGTTCCAGTAACGATACTAAAAACGACAGGGGAATCCTGGGCCGGACGCTGGAGCAGAAAAAGGACTTTTGCCCCGGCTCGTGTGGCTCAGTGGATTGAGCACAGGCTGTGAACCAAAGGGTGGCAGTTGGATTCCCAGTCAGGGCACGTGCCTGGGTTGAGGGCCAGGTCCCCAGTGGGGGGCCATGTGAGAGGCAACCACACATTGACATTCCTCTCCCTTTCTCCTTCCCTTCCCCTCTCTTTAGAAAGAAAATATTTTTTTTTAAAAAAAGAAAGAAAAAGGGCTTTTGTGGAATTCAGTAATATCTAAATCAAGCCTGTAGTCAACTGTGCTGTTCCAACGTTAACTCCTTTCGATCAGTGGAGGGTGGTTATGTAAGAGGCGAACATTAGGAAGAACTGGGTGAGGGGCATATGGAATGCTCTGCATGTTCTTTGCAACTTTTCTATAAGCCTACAACTGGTGCATAGTAATAATTAGAAAGTTCATTTAAATAAAAGGGGGTAGGGCAGATACTTACTTAACCGACCAGCTTTTTCGGGAAGGCGGAGCCTGGGTGGTTTCACCCGCGTTGGTGGAGCTGGGTGTCCCAGGCTCCCCAGCTTTAGGCCTGCCTCCCGCTGGACAGGCCCTGTCCCCGCCCTTCACAGGGCACAGAAGGGCAGTGGACCCATTGAGGCCCCCGGCTGGGGATCCGGGCGACCTTCTGGGCACGATTTCCAGCTCGGTTTTGAAGAGCACAGCCGTGGGCCCTGCAGAGAAGTCCTCGTTGCAGAGCTTGTCAAGGTCGGGCATGCTCAAGGCCCTCAGTTCCTGGAGCTTGGAGCGCGACAGGGGCGAGGGCTGGGTGTGGCGCACTGAGCACTTGCTCCTCCTGATGGGGGCAGCAGGTGGCACCGTTGGGGTGGGGATTCCGGAAGGCCCGGGCGGTTTCTTCGGGTCAGGGTCAGGGCCCTTGATACTGGCCTCCACCAGGTTCTGCCGGGAGACCATCAGCGTCATGCTGGACGGGGACTTGGTCATCTGGGGGATGAGGCTGCTGGCTTCACTCTGGCTCTCGCTGCAGGAGCTCAGGCTGCGTCTCAGGGACCTCGCGGTCGGGTCACTGGGGGGGCCGAAGCTCCCCGAAGCCACGCTGCCAGAAGACCGCCTCCCGAGGGGAGGCTTGGAGCTCACAGACAGAAAAGAGGAAGCCCCAGACTTGGGCGTGGGCCGGTCAGAATTGGCCAGGTTCTCAAAGGACTTGATCCTCTGCTTCACAGAGAAAAATGAGGTAGATTCATGGGGCCAGTTCTGCTCAGAGTAGTAATGTCTCCTGGTGACCTTGATTTTGTCTGTGACTAGGCAGCCCATCTCCTGCACTGAAAGGCCATCCCCTTTGTCAGTCGTCGGAAGGTTCCTTGACATCTCCAGCAGGGGCTTCACACTATACACACCCTGTCCATTAACCAGGCCAAGAGCACCGCCTCGGGACACCCTGGCCTCAAGGAGGCCACCGCTTGTAGCAGGGATGTCCCGGTGAGAGCGACCTGGGCTGGGCAGGGAAGGCCCTTCCCGTCCAAAATGGCTTGTGAACTGGGCTGGCATGGAGTAGGTCCTGGTCGCTGGCCTTGGCATGAAATAGGGATGCTCATCCAGTGCTGGGCCCCCCGGTGTGCCGTTCTGGGGTGTCCCTGGGGACTCTGACATCTGGAGCGACTTTCCCAGAGAGGAACCTGCCTTTGCAGCAGGCAGCTGCGGGGAGCAGGAGGCGGCCACTTTCGCCATGCCGAGGGGGCGCTGCGTTTCCTGCTCCGCCTGGGAGGCACGCGACGACGTGAGTGAGGGTGGATGATTTGGGGACAATTCCACTGACTGGTGACAGAGTCTGATTTCACTCTTCTCCTGATAGTTGCTCTGGGCCAAGAACCCTCCCGGTCTGTCACTTTCGGTGGATGCACCGCCCCATGCTTTCTTTGGCATTCTCTCAGAAGAAATTTCAACTATTTTCAGCTGGTTTGTTCTTTCTGGGAGATCACCGGCAATTGTTTGGCTTCCTTTGTCGCCAGTTGCCCTGGGTTGGGCTACTCCTGGTACCAAACCTGTCTGGCTGGCTGAGAGCTGCTGGCCCTGCCTAGGGGGCGGGGTCTCCCTCGAGTCCACTTCCACGGACATGCTGCTCCTCAACGCTGCAGCGCCTGTCCCTGAAGCCTCCCTGCTCTCTGGTCCACACTTAGGCGATCTGGGGGTGGCCGGGCAGCCTCTGTCGGATTCAGAGTGGACAGCTGGGTGGAATCTAGCCCCCAAACCCTGCTCGGGAAGAGCCTTGGGGGAGGTCGGGGAGCAAGCGAACGGTCTGATGCTCGTGTCTGATGCTGACGGCCTCAGTGACCCCGGGGCTGCAGCGGGTGGCCTGCTCTCCAGCACACTCTGGGGGGACTTGACAGTGGCTGTGGTGTTTCTGCCGGGGTCCTCACGGTCGGCTCCCTGGAGCCGGTGTGATGCTGCCTTAGGAAGCGCTTTGTGGGAGGCCTGGGGGGAAACGAGGGGTCTCCGATGGTCTGCCCCACTGGCCTTTGGTGGATTAGCCGCAGGGACCTCGGAACCACCTTTGCTTTTGCTCTTGATGCTCAGTCTCCTCAGCTTAGGGCCACATTTGGATTTCTGACAGTTATTTAGAAGGGTTTCCACTGAGCTTTTTTTAGGTGTGTCTTTATTTTCAAGATTCAGTTTCGGCTGAGGGGGACTGTTGGGCACAGCAGCCCCCTTTTTGTGGTTCGTGCCCAGCGCCTGGCTTTTAGAGTCGGGACTTCTGGGTGGCGCCACGGCCTGTTCCTTTTCAGTTTGGCTCTGCAAGTGTGTACCTTGGTTTCCTTTATTGATTTCTTTAAACCAGGCCATGATGGGCCTCCTGGAGACCATTTTTGGCTTCTGCAGAAGGTCATCCGGGTCTTGACTCTCAGAGATGTGCAGGTTGGTCAAAACAGATTCCCCGTTCTCAGGGGCACCCATACGAAAGGAGGACCGATTTTCGGTTGCATTAATTTTAGTTTCTGGTTTCTTATCCGGACTTTTGCCGTCCAGCAAGTCATGTCCCAAACCATTTACCGTGCTAGGAGGGTTGAGAGGGACTGCGTGGTTGTGCGAACGCCTGGTGGCTTCAGAAGCCTGGCTGTTTTCCGCGGCTGAGCCACTGCCGGTGGCTTCCACGGCTGCTCCTTCACACAAAGACCTGCGCTTCTGTGCCATTCTTAGGTCTGCGTGGGGTTTGCACCCCTGAGAGTTTCCATCCAGGAGAACCAACGGCGGGGCAGCGTCTGGGGTTGCAGGGGACACCCCCTCGCGGGGCCTCGCCGCAGCCTCGCTGGGTGCACCTTGCACGACTCTGGCCGGAGTAGGGCAGGGTGCTGTCCGGGTAGGTGGGCGTGCTGCCGTCGGGGCGGGCTTGGGGGGACCGTGGGTGGCACAAATTTCAATTTGTTCCTCCTCAGACTCCGTGGCCTCTTCCTTGGGAGACGACCCCCGAGAACGAGGAGGGGACCAGCTGACCCGGGTGGCAGGTCGTGAGGCTTCAGGGAGCGACTCGGGGTCAGATGACGAGTCCTCCGCGTCGCCGTACATAGAGGACAGAGACGGCTCTGTGCTGTCACCCAGGCCCGACAGGGATGTGCTGTCCTCGTGGAAAGGGCTAAAATTTCTCGAGTAGTTGCTCAGAAAGCTTTTGCTCACAGCGAAGTGTTTGTCGGGGTTGATGGAATCCAACACGGAGGGATGGGAGGCCCACTGCACGCCGGCGGCGCAGGCCCTCCCCGGGCTTGGGGTCTGGCTCCCAGCGGCCGGCTCGGCGCGGCCCGCACGCCCCCCTCCGGCTGCCGCAGGGAGCGGGCCCTGCGAGCCGTCCTCTCCACTTGCCCAGTCCCCTTTGTCCGGAGACCGTGGCCTTCCTTCCGAAACCACCAGCTCCTGGATGAGGCCGTCGATGTCAGTCACAGGGCCCCCTCCGCTCCCCGTGGGGCGGCCGGGGCCCGAGGCGCTGCTGCGCTCCTCTGGGGGTGACGTGCCGGCGCCGCGGGTCTGCGGTGCCCCTGCGGGCCTGGCGTCTGTTCCCTGGAGCAGCACCGACTCCCCGGCGCGCTCAGGTGTGAGGGCCTCCATCCTGTGCAGCACTTGGCTGTGGTCACTGGGAACTCCTTGTCTCTCCTGGCCCGCGAGGAGGCCTGGTGACAGGACGGGGCCTGCCGGAGTCGCCCCCTCTGCCTCGGGTCCTGCTGCCCCGTGCGCGCCTGCCTTCCCAGGGGTGTCTGGCCGACTGGTTTCGGAGGCTGCCTTAGTGGCACTGAAGTCCGGGTGAGCCGCTGTGGTCTTCCCTGGGGAGGTGCTGTGGTCCTGGGCAAGGCCGGCGACGTGACATCTGTCCACAGACTTGGGGACCCTGGGTGACACTGGCCCTCTGGGGTCCTCAGGCTGCCTCACTTGTTCTGTGTCCCCTGAGGTTTTGCTGGGGTTAGGGTGAGCGGCCCCCTTGGGCCCTGGGGAAGGGACATGGTCTGGGGAGCCATCCAGTCCTGTGTTGAGAAAGTAAGCAAAAGGTGGGGTGATACAAAGAGGAAAATGTGAGAAAATAGAAAAACCCAAGTAAAAAAAGTGGGAAACTGTCTTTCTTGTCTTTTTCAGAAGGACATTCCACAGCCTGAGTGTGGGACCTCTTGTCTCTCCAACTCCGAACATCACACGTCTAACAAGCCGAGGCTGCTCTGGACGCCGCACCCCCACCCGGCCAGAAGCCCCGCAGCTGCCCCTTCCTCTCTCTTGGTCATGCTCAGGGCCTGGGGCACCGCGGCAGTGCTGCTGCCCTCGGGTTTCGCTGCACGGTTCCCTGTGATGGCAGAAGCCAGGGAAGCCAGGCTGCGGTTCTGCTTCCCTCCTACGCTTCGCGTGGATTCTGCAGAGACGCCCAGTCTCTCAGCTCCAGCACCTGGCTGGGCACCTGCGGTCTGGCTTCAAGGTGTGGGTAGTGAGACACGCGGGAGGTATAAAGCAGTCCAAGCGCCCAGGGACTCACTGCTTCGCACCGAGATGGAGGCTAACCTGGGAAAACACACGGAGTGCCACGGACAGGATGCGAGTCTGCACTGAGTGGGGGCCGTGTCTGCACGGGGCTCAGTGGGGTGGGGGCGCTGCAGGCCAGGTCACCCCAGGAAGCTGTGACAGAGGGTGGGGACTTGAGCGGGGTTCTGGAGGGATAGTTTGACTAGAGTGATTGATGAGGAGGATGAGGAGGGTGAGGAAGGAAACGGAATGAAAGCAGGGAAGCAAGAAGTAGCACTAGGCCCTGGCTGGGTAGCTCAGTTGGTTAGAGCCTCGTCGGGATAGGCCAAGGCTGTGGGTTCGATCCCCAGTCAGGGCACATAGAAGAATCAACTACTGACTACACAAATAAGCGGAACAACAAATCAATGTTTCTCTTTCTCTCTCTCCCCCGTATCTCTCCTCCTTTCTCTAAAATCAAAAAGCAGCAGCATGAAATCCCCACGGGGCAGGGAAAGGTGCTACATGCCCTGCCAGGGATGGTGGAGAGCGGCTGGTCCTGGAGCTGCCCCCCCCCCCCCCCCCCGGCACGAGCACTCTGGGGCCAGTCTGCCCGCCACATCGGGAACATGACCCCATACTGTAGCAGGGGAAACCGCAATGAACAAAACATAGGATTTGCTATTTTCTCAGGAACTACAGGCCTGAGGCTGAAGTCCAAGCGAGAGCTCTGGCTTTGAGAAATGTGTCTGTCCCGAGTGCCTTTTCCCTCCTCAAGTTCCTCTGCCACTAATTAAGCGCCAATTAGTACAACTTAGCACTGTGCTAAGAGCTTTTCTTGCATTTAATTGTCCCCCCGGCCTGTGAGGTTGGCACTGGGACTGGACGCACTGGGACAGGAGGGACCTGAGGCCTGGAGTGGCCGAGCAACGTCATGGCCAGGGTCATGGGGTTCATGGCCAGGGGTCACCCCGGGGTCACCCCGGGAAGCTGGCTCCACAGCCCACACCACGAGCTATACCCCTCGGCACCTGGCAATCACAGGCCAGCTCAAGACACCTGTGGAGACCCTGCGTCACTTCCCCAGGCCCCTGGGAGGACAGGGGCCTGACCGGATTCACATCTGTGGCATGTGTCACAGAACGGGTGAGGCGCGCCGGCCGAGTGGAAATGTGGGCCCGTCTGGGGCACCGGGACTGGCAGCTCAGGCACAGTGAGTCGGTGATGCTGTCGGCCGTGGCCGCTGTTAAGTGTCAGTAATGTGCGTAAGAGTTTTCTTCCCTCTTAAAATTCACATGTAATGATTTCCAGGGGCACTTCCGCCCTCCCGACGAAGAGCATAAGAAATGATGAACAGCCGTACCTGTCCTGGGTTGCTGCCCCTGGTCTGGTGCCGCTTCGGGCAGGTTCTCGGCGAGGCGGCCAGCACCTGGGTGGGGCCCGTGCCCGGCAGTCCGCTTCCCCAGAGGTTCCTGGCACAATGACAACAGCAAGTCAGTGTCTATAGCTTCCGGGCAGTCTGCATCCCAGGGCGTCCTAGACCGAGCAGAGCCGGTTTGGGGAAACGCGGAGAGCCTGGACTAGGAGCCAGGAGACCGGACTCTGGGTTTAAGTTAACTAGACATGCCATGTTCTCGTCACTCTTCCTAAGCCTCTGTCTTCTGGGCTTCAAAATGTGGGCGGCTGGGGAAACGAGGCAGCACCTCGTACCCAGCAGGATGGCCAGCATCGGCGGACAGAAGTAACGAGTGCTGGTGAGGACACGAAGCAATGGGAAAAATGAAAATAGAACTATTACGTGATCCAGCAGTCTCACTTCCAGGTATATACCTAAAACTTGAAAGCAGGGTCTTGAGGAGATAATAACACACCCATGTTGTCCTGGCTGGTGAAGCTCAGTGGATTGAGCCCTAGCCTGTGAACCAGAGGGTTGCCAGTTCAATTCCCAGTCAGGGCACATGCCTGGGTTGTAGGCCAGGTCCCCAGAGTGTGGGACATGTGAGAGGCAACCACACATGGATGCTTTTCTCCCCCTCTTTCTCTCCCTTCCCCTCTCTCTAAATAAATAAATAAATAAATAAATAAATAAATAAATAAATAAATAAATAAAATCTTTAAAAAATACGTCCATGTTCAGACAAGCATTATTCATAGCATCTAAAATATGGAAGCAACTTGAGCCCATCGGTAGATGAGCAGATAAGGAAGATGCGGTCTCTACGGGAGATAGGACTCAGGAAGGAAAGGAATTCTGACACAGGCTGCAATGGGGACGAGCTTCGAGCTTTGAGGACATTTTATAAGTAAATCAATCACAAAAAGACAAGTATTCGGAGTACCCAGAACAGTCAAAATGTCAGGGACAGAGGGCAGACTGCTGGTGTCCAGGGGCTGCGGGGAGGGGTGTGGGGGAGTTCGTGTTTAGTGGCAGAGTGCGAAGATGCAGAATTGTGGAGACAGACGGCGGCGATGGCCGCACAACACTGAGGCCGTCAATGTCACTGAGCTGCGCCCTTGAACGTGGGCAAGAGGGGTGGCTGCTAGGCATGTTCCACCACACGCAGGAAAAAAGGAAGAAGCGGGGATGGAAAGACTTGCCTGTCAAGTCACAGGGTTTTAAATGAAAGATGATTAGGTAAGTAAAGAAAATAACACGCATCGTACAAAAGGTGATACAGATTGAAGGGACCGTCGTTCGCCCTGCTACTTAGGGCGAGGACTAGTCTGGGTGAGTGAAATCCACATTTAACATTTCAGAATCTACTTCAGCCACGTGCCAATGACTCTATCTTCTTTTCTTTAGCTACCATAAATAAAAATTCTTTTAAAACAAATTTGCTAAAAAGTTAAGTCAGCGGTAATTGAACTTCCCCCTCTGGGTTTGATCAGAGAGTGGCCTGCAGGGGGCAGCAGAGGGAAGAGGTGAAATGGATACAAGGCCTTTCAGCTCCTCTTGTCAAAAAAAAAAAAAAAAACATTCAGTAAATGTCAGTTATCTGCTGAGGGAAATCTGCACGGGCTGTAACACAGTTAACTTTCTGTTCGCCAGTCAGGCGCCACCATGACACAGGAACCGAAGGTGAGAGCGGGCGCTGGACGCAGGTGGCGGCTGCCCAGCGCCGTGAGTGCCCCAAGTTCCGGCGAACTGCATGCTTTAAAGTGGCTAATTTTAGGTTCCGTGAATGTCTTCTCAATTTTAAAACGTATTAAATAAAAGGAGGCAACCCACTTACCAAAAGGTTTTTGTTTTTTAGCTTCCACTATCCGAGGGTAAATACTTTATGGCAGTGTGTTCTATTTTCTTTCTTATGTATAAATAAAATCAAATTTTGGAACTAAAATTTTTAAGAGAAAAATTAAACTTCTTTGGACCAAAAGTTTTAAACGCTATTCGAAGTTCGTATTGAGAATACTAATTAAAAATTGCAAAAGGCCTTATTTTAATAGATATAAATTATTATGAACAGAAATGCCTGTTGACTTTATGTAGTTATCCAAAACTTATCAATGATACTTTTTAAAAGAAAAGGTTCACCCATTGGCTGAATGTTACATTTTAAAACATATTTGCTATTTGGAGGTAATAATTTTTTAGGAGGATGGAAAAATATGTGCATTTCTGCTTTTTCGACAAGGTGAAGAAAACTCCCTCTGTTTAGGATCGTTTTTTTGTGACTTCGTATTTTCTGGGTCTGTTTACATGTAAGTTTACATACACCACCTGGATACACATCTTTATAAATACGGTCTCACAAGTCACCTCAGATTCTTTGCTCACACAGAGATTATTCACCTTGAGGAGATCATAAATAACACCCATGTCTCTTACTCCTTGCTCAAGTGGAGGTATTTTGACATTTAAAAAAAATGAGCAATTTGATACTTCTGGGTCTTTTGGACACAGGTGTAACCAAGGAGTAACAGAACTAACACTAACTCGAGTTTAATATGGTGGCCCTGCCAGTGTCTTTCATGGGGGCCTTCCGGCAAGGGTCCATGCAACCTCACACATAATCACTAGAAGAAGCTTAAAAAAAATAAGGGGCATTGAGAACTTTATCAGAGGGGACAGTCACTGTTGCCCTGTATTTGATGGTCACACCAACTCCGGGCGTTGATCAGTCCCTCCTTCATGGCCCAGCCAATCGGTTGGAGAAACCAGGCCCAGGGCTCTCCACCTGCCTCCCTTCATCAACCACCGGCCCCGTGGACAGGTAAGAGAGCGATGATATCGTTTGGCCGAATGATCCATGACCCAACACCTGGGCACTTTCTCCTACACCCTGCTGATGTATCCACAGGCCCCCGGGCCATCTTGTGCTGAAATGAATGCCTCATTGAAGGAGATTTCTCCTGTCATTATCTTTTCTTGCAGGCAGATGCCCCTATGCTTTAAAACACACTCCGTATTCATTTACACAATATCCACTTAGATCCCAAGTAACTAAGAAAATCAGTTACCTTTTCCACAGTTCCACCGGGTCGAAAACCAGTTGTGGTCCCTTGCCCCGATGTGCCCTGGACTTCGGAATCCAGACCACATGGGTCATCAGCTCCCTCCATCAGGTTCACTGTCTCTGAGCTGCCGAGCCTGGCATTGGCCTCTGGCCACTTGCAGTGTGGGCTGACCCTGGCCACAGGTTTGTGTCTGGACCCCAGGCTTCCATCCTTCTGGGGGCAACCGGGACCGTCTGCACTCACTGGACTCCGGGGACTGGCTCTGTACTCCAGTTTGGGTGAACTCCTGGATCCTGACACTTCCTTCCGCCCTGAGCCGCCAGAGCCACCCTTGGCGGCCTCTGCAGAGGACAGCAGGCTGGCTGCATGCAAAAGAGTGTCCCCCAAGGCCCCTGGGACACTCTGCTCTAAGTTTGATGCACTACCCAGGAGAGGCACTGAGGAGGCCTTGCTGACCAGGGTTTTCGGGGGATGTTCCTCCTGGTTGTTGATGCCCGTGACCTTGGAAGAGGTCATGGAGACAGGCCTGGAGTCGACCTCCGTCCGAGGCCTGCCGGAACCTGGGAGGGTCCCTGGGAGGGAAACGCAGTCGCCTTCGCTGTCGAACTCGCCCTCATCACTGGCATCGTCGGCCTCGTAGCAGCCCACCTTCCTCTGGCGGAGGAGAGGATTTCGGAGCACCTGTGGGCTTCCAGGGAGACTGGCTTGTCTGGCAACTGTCACCTGCTTGTGGAAGAGCCCGGAGCCCCGCTGGCTTCCCAGACATACAAGGCTGTTGGCCCTGGCTTTTCCGGGCTCCTTGTGAGCTGATGGGAAAGGAAAGTCAAATGAAAAAGTTAGCCGTCTGGCCTGACCTTCAAATGTACCCCCTGAGCATGTCCACATGCACTACTGCCCTCTGGCGGCCACAGGGTGCCAGGCTCCCACACCACGGCCTCGTGAGGTCTGGACGCAGGGAGCCCCGGTTTCCCGCTCCCATTTTCCAGCCGGCCTCCCTTGTGTGTTTATTTTTGTGCCAGAACCTCTGGAGTGTTTAACTTAAACGTGTGTGCTGCCCAGAAACTGAAATGTATCACTTGTCACCATCCAGGGTGTCTAACGCATTGCTGGGGTTCGACCCAGACGCTGCTGCTGAGAACCCCTCTTCAGGAGGCTGTCGGGGGACCAAGCAAGTGCCCCTCGCCTGGGCCTCCTGGTCACCTGAGGTCCTCCCTGCACCGGCACCTCGGCGGGCGTCCCCAGAGGGCACGGGGGCACCGAGACCGTGTGGTACAGGGAAGCCTTCCATGATCGCCTATGAATAAATCCCACCAGCGAAGGGGAAAAGGCCTGGGCCGCTCTGCAAGCTCTACACTTCTTGCTAAGGGCAGCGAGAAATCACACAAGCCTCCGCCTGGAAGTGTCCTCCCCAGACCCGAGGAAGCTCAGTGGGTGCTCCAAGTAGGAGTCGGGAGTGACTGTCGCAGGCCTGTCCTCAGACAGGGGCACTTTCTGGTTCGCACGTTTGAAACACAGCGAGAAGGGAAGCCTCGCCAGCAGAAGCCCAGGGAGTCGGCACAGCCCACAGCACGCGGTCTTCTCCCAGTGTACGGGGAGGAGAAGCAACGAGGTCCAACGTCTGTCTCTCCCAGGGTCTGACTCTTCCACCCACTGCCTTGTCGGGAGAACTCAGTGAGGGCCTAGCGGGGCAAGGGCCCTGACATCTGGCTGCGATTCCCCTGAAACCCAGGCCATGATTTGGCACCACTGATTTCCAGGCTCGGCCGTGAGCACAGCACCCGAGGGTGGCGGGTTCGGCCTCCCTCACCAGTCTGCGCAGACGGAGTGCCCAGAAAGACGGCTTCCACTCAGCCAGAGGCCTGGTTTCCACGTCCCTTTTCCTACAGGAGCACGGTGGTGCGGGAACCAGCGGGGCCTGGTTTGGAAACCAGTCCTGGCTTACCAGGGGTGCTGGGCGGCAGGCTGCCGTCCTCAGAGATGCTGCAGCCGCTGCCTGTGTGGTCCTCGTCCTCGGAGCCGGCCACCACAAAGTCCGACAGGGGGCCTGGGGCGTCCTGGGCGAAGTACTGGGAGAGTTCAGAGTCAGAGACCAAGGAGTCCTGTTGAAGACGACAGTGTCAGGAGGCTCAGAGGGCACAGCAGGAGCGGGTCCTTCTAAACACTGATTACCTCCCCTCTCTCCGGGAGCACTTTGTTCTGAGCCATGGTCATTGCAAACAGCTGTGATGGTAAACACCCACTTCCACTTACTTTAGGCTTGTTAAACCTTCAGTGAATCAAAAGCCAGCAGTCGCTGCCAGATGACGTTTTTTAATACATATATATATGTATTTTTTTTTCTTTTTTGCTAAATGTTTGGTAATGATGAGAGAGGCCAGAGCAGCCATGGAGCGACCCTCCCAGGAAAACCAGTGGGGAAGGGATAGGGAAGCAGAATGAGATCCCAAGCCACTGGTTCAGCTTATGGATGAAACAAAACCCAGGGCAGGTTGAATCCTGCAGTCTGACCCACTGGGACTTGGGAGCAGCCGGCTGGGGAGGTGTCCACCAGCTCCTTATGGCTGCAGACCCCCCAGAACTGGCCGGGGCCCTCTGATGACGGCACATTTTGACAGCTGTTTTTCAAATGGCAGCTCAGTTCTTTTGTTTTTCTATTCTTTTCCTGGGTAGATCGTTAAGAAAGAAACACAGTTGTGTATTTGTTCTCAAATCAGCATTGTTGCGGTTTCCTGTGTAAAGCGGCCAAGTGACTCCCGGACAGAAATGTCAGCAGGGCCCTCACATTCGCCTTATGGGCCCCAGGACTTTGTTCCTGAGGCAGCCGGGTGAGGCTGCAGCGCACCTTGACTCACCTTCTTTGCAAAGGAGGGGCTCTTCAAGGGGGTACCTGTTGGGGAGAAAGTCACCATACTGTCAGAACACGAAGCACAACCCTCGCAAACAGGCTCACACCCTTAACAAGAGGAGGAGCCAAACACATTAAACAGAACCCTCTTCACCTGACTAGCCCTGACGGCCACGTGCACAGGTGTCAACAGGTGCGTCCCCTACCTGGGCCCCCAGACCCCGCCCTGTCCTGCCCCACCTCCCAAGATTCTGCTCATGCTTTAAGGTCTAACTCGGGTGCTATGAATGATGCAGGTTAGAGGTAACTTCTGAATTTCAAAAGCATTTTACACTACTCACACACTCATTCCCATACACATAGCATGACTGAGTTACAAGCAGATGCATCTCATCTCCCTGTAACGCTTTAACCATGTGCAGGGCTGAGACCCTCGTGGACCTGACCCTGCAGCACCCAGCCTGGCACCTTGATTAGAGGATGGATGGACAGAGACACTGCTCAAGAGACGCATGACAGAACTGGGGAGAGTGTTGAGTACGTGTTTTAGATTTTGGGTGAAGGATGAAGAGACTCGGCATTGAGACTCTGACTTCTATGCTGTGAGCCGAAGGATCCTGGGCATGAGGATCGTGGCTTAATAGGCTCTTTCATAAACCATCAGTGGCGATGCTGGGATTGTGAGAAGGCAGCGCTCAGGCAGGTCAGGGGAATGAGCCGGCTGAATAAAGAGCCCATTATGGCTGTGCCATAATTTTACATGTATTAATCATGGATGCAAATAATCAGGGCATTTCATGGTTTCCAAGAATCCCTCCGCCTTCCTCTTCCTCTGACAGCCTGTCACTCATGTCTCAGCTCCTTGTCCCCGCAGCGCTCTCAACATCGGGCCTATCTCCAGTCCAGACACGCTGCCAAGCCCCTTTAGGTTTCCATCCTAGAAGGAACGTGACTTTACAACTCGATGCAGCGCTTCCTATTTTAAATTCATATGAAATCCTTACTATTTCAGTCCTCCTCTGCCTGAGCGGTTCCAAGTAAGAGGGGGAAAGTGTGATTTTTGCAGCCTGTATCACCTTCCTTAAGTCGAAACGTTTAACTCGTGTAAAGAAACCCCAGGTTCTGGGTGGATAACGTGCTCTGTGCCTAACAACAGTCGCACCGAAGAGCTGCTATTTTGGTGCCACTTCCCGTTCACCTAGAACATTTCAGATGGGTTGTGCCTGAACACATGAAATGCTCTTAACTCACTTTTGCAAATTATCTTTTCGTACAAGGAGCATGCATAATTAGAACTTTAATAAGGCAGATTAAATAACTGCAGATATCAAAAGTAACAGCTAAGAGAAAGCAGAGACTCTCTTTGACAGCTGCTTCTGCCCAACGTGGTAATTACAGAGAACCCAATGATACTGCACGGGGGAGCCCCCCTGGGGAAACTTCACCCGACGCTGCTGAACGTGGAAGGGAAATGTGCAGTCACGGTACCTGAGCCAGGAGAGGAACTGGCCTCCTTGCTGTCCTGGTAAGTGCTGCGTGCTATCACTTCGTCCATTTCCTGCTCCGAAACCTGAGTTTCGGCAGAAAGCACAAGTTAGATGGTTTTTATTTACTTATTTCCTCCCCCCCCAAAATTGACTAGAAGCAGAGGCAGGAGCTGAACAGAGACTCGGAGGAAAACCGGAGGGCCGAGGGCTCGGAGCACCTTCCGACACAGCCGTGCAGGGTGCGTGGGAGGCACAGCTGGGTTAGCCGACTGCCTCCACCAGACACACAGACCCACGGCTTCACCTGGTCCCCAAGTTCATTAAGAAAAGTAGTCCAGTGCAGTGGCGGATACCTGGCTCTCTCCGGAACACGCTTTCCCCCCCTAAATCTTATTTAAACAATTTCAAATGTACATACTTGCAAGACCAGCACAAGAACAGTGGACTCCTCACCGCGACTCACCACTTGCTGGCACTCTGCCATGTTTACACTCATGCTGGCTGGACACACACGTGCTGTACCTTTTTACTAAACCACTTGTACATTAGTTGCAGACATCGTGACCCCTCACACGTGCATTTTTTCACATAGCTCCTAAAACCAAGGGCCGTCTCTTAAATAACCCCGGTACTGTGCTCAAATTCGGGAAATTCAATGTTGATGTGATGACTGTCTAATATACATACATTCCATGTTCCATTTTAGCCAACTGCCCCAATACCCTCCTTCAGAAACACTCCTCCAAGAGTGCCTCGCAAGTAGTTCCCAGAAAGGTTGGTGCCAGCCTGCAGTAAGATGAGATTTTCCTCGGGAATGCACACTGACATTCAGAGTCTCTCACCAACTCCATCTTGCCAGAGGAAAAAATGTCACATGAACTAAATGTGTGCACAGCGATCTAACATTTACATTCTGTGCAAGTTCCTGATCTCGCAGACCTTTAGTGGACTGTCACTGACCCGCCTTTCTGCAGAGTAATAACTTTATAGGATCTCTCTCTCTCTCTCTCTCTCTCTCTCTTTTTTTTTTTGGTTAACCCAGGATTTAATTCATGATCCAGCAGTCCCGTCTCTTTGCTCTCCTTTGAGCTGAGGCAACTGCAAGCCTTTCTTTTCTTTCAGGAAACTGTTATTTTGGAAAAAAAGGAGGCCAATGCAAACCTCAACAGATTTGTCTAATAGTATCTTTATGCTTAGATGTAGATTTTGCAGTTTTTTGGCAGAAAAACTACAAACATCATTTCCTTCTCAGTGCATCCCAGAAGCACTCAGGGTCGGAGTGTTTCATAATTAGTGATAACTCGGATCCCTTGATTGGGGTGGATTACACCTGATTTCTCCACTAGGTTTTTTTTTTTTTTTGTCATTAATGGGTAATTTATGAGGAGATAGTTTGAGGCTATGTCAATATCCTGCTCTCCAACATCCAGGGTCCAGCAGAAGTAACGTCAGCATGAGTGTGGTTGGTAAGGCAATGATATGGGTGTTATAATTTATAGTTTTATTTTGAATATGTCACCTAAAATGTCATATGATGTGCTTGAGCGTGACATTGTTATGTGACAGAATTAGATGCTTATAATTTTGTAATAAAAAATTTTGTATTAAAAAAGGGGGGGGCATTACTTGTGCCGGACCCTGTGTTTTTCACTCAATGGTTTTAACATCATTGATAATTCCCCCCCTCTTTATTTTTATTGTTGACCCTCATCCAGATGTCCCCATTTCTGCATGAATCAATTACTACGATGAAGTTTTCAAAACTGGGGTGTTATGGCTCCCCTTTCCCGTCCCGGTTTGCTGGAGTCCCAGCAGGTCCGCGGATTCTCTTCCCTGTCAGTTGCTCAGGGGAAGATTTTTTTAAAGGCCTGAAACACGCTAAACTATGAGATGTTTTAAAAGATAATTATGTAACTTCTACAGTTTCTTTTTTAAAGAGAAGGGTATTTAAAACTTAGAATGATAATTTTTTATACTAACATAACATTTAGTATAACTAACATTTGGATAAGCATAGTAATTTGTCTTAAGTAAATAAATATTTCTCTACAGGAGTATTACATTTCATCATAATCACACCATGGCCTTTATGTAACACTTTCTAGTAGGTTTTGCAGGAAATCAAGTGCACACACACGCCCACAGGCCCATACACTGACATGCACACCCCTCCCCCCTTCATAAAGCCCAGGGGAATTTTGTATACATGGGCCAGGAAGGATGTCAGCTGAAACAGTGGCTGCAACTTTTTGTTGCTATTAGACGTTCCATGTTTGCAATTGCTTTTCGGAGTTGGGGTTTGAAATAAGTGGACGATTTCTGGATAATTCTAATTGTGCTGAAGGCCCCAGCGCCAATTAAAATGGATCTCTATCACTTTCTCCGCTCAACCTAAGTGGGACACTTGCACCCGAGGCGCCCACACCGCAGCTTGTCTAGACCTGGAGGGCCCGGCTCTCCCGAGCGGGCAGCCGCTGCTCCCGTCGTTGAGAAACAGAAGAAAAGAAAGTCCTTGTGGTGTTTCTCTTGGAACAACATGAAAACGAGGAAGCACGTACATTCAGTATCAAAATGTACTACTGGCATGAAATGCTGGGATAAGTGGTGCAAAACTACATTAAACATAAAGTGAAACCTTAACCCAAAGAAAAATACAGTATGATGTTACAACTAGGAACGCCATGTTTACCTAGGAAGAAACGTGAAGTCCAGCCAAACAATTACGGGAATTTGGTTTTGCTGGACGTTATCCCCAATGCCATCTCAGAGACGGTTTCACTGTGGCTACGAACATGAATCAACCTGAATGTTCAGCGGGCCACAGCCCAGAGCCCATCGGGGTTACGCTGTGCACTGAAATGCCTTGTGTTTCGGGTTGTATAAGCAAGTCAGGCAGATGCTTCTGGGCTGAGATGAAGTGAATGCTGAACAAATCATGGCCTGTGTTATGGTGGAATGGATTGTGAAGTCAGACATGCCTCAGAGCTGTTAGACTTCAAACCACTGAGCACTTGACTTTCTATAACGCTGCGGAGGGATGGGCTAGGTCAGCCACAACTTCGTGGGGTGTTTCCCAAAGTGACAGAAGGCGTGGCTGTGTGGTTGGTGGAATCCAAGAGAGGGCCCTGGAGGAAGGCGCCGAGGCTGTTCTGTCACGGTGAGGCAAAATGGGGTTAGAAGAGATGCAGAGAGAGTCCTGGGGAAAGCAGGAAACAAAGAGCAGCAGATTCCAAGGGACAGTGTCAGGGCTGCAGAACAGGACAGAGAAAAAGGGGACGTGACAAGCAGAGAAACTGGGAAGAGGTGGAAGCGGGACTCAGAAGCTGGGGACCATTTAGGGTAGAACCAAATCAAACTACCCATAAAACAAGAGCGGCCATATGACGGGGATGGAGAGAACGGATGCTCTTAATGAGCCTTCTGAATTGTTAAAAGGAGAAGATTAAACCGTGTAAAGTTCAACCCGATTACAATGTGAGAGACCAGCTAATTCTAAAAGATGTTTACGCTGAGGACAGAACACAACAAATCGTGCACTTCGGCAGCACGTGCACTAAAGCTGCAACAACACAGAGAAGGTTAGCATGGCTTCTGCACGAGGGCGACACGCAAACCTGTGAAACACTCATATTTTTTTAAAAATTAGTGTTCAAAGAGTTTAAAAAGAAGCAGACAGAGTTGAGTTGAATTTGCTGAGGTGTCTCGTGATTAGCTTACAAAATTAAAAGCAACTGCAAGAGTGTAGAAGAGATAAGCAAAGCACAGCAGGGGCCCGGGAGATGGGGCTACGATGATCTGTAAGTTCCATGTGTGATACCAATGCTCAGAAAATAAAAAATAAAAAATTAGTGGGCTCTTAAGCCCAACTGCAGAAGTATTCTGCTCAGGTCAGGAGTGGCCTGGACGGACCGTGTCATCTCATGCCCTCAGATAGTCCCGCGGCAGCAACGCCTGCAGATCTCTGCTGCGGAACCAGAGGTCACACGGCCAGCTGCGGGTAATCGGAACCCAGCTCTGCTACCGTCTACCAAATTTTAAGTTCACCAATTACACTGTCTAATAACATTTTCTAAGAACGCAAGGACGGAGAAGTCCAGGTAGGTGATTCCTACCCCTTGTGTATCTGTCACCACGGCCATGGTGTGGCCTCAGGCTGCCTCCCATCCCCAGTGAAGTGTCTCCCCGGAGCATGTGTGTGGCCACTGTGTCATGTGAGTCACTGCTCCTGGACAGATGGCCCATGCCCAGAAACAGCACGAAACACGTCACCTTTGGGTTGGGGTGCCGGCCGATGACGAGGCGAACGGGTCCTGGGGGGCACTTGCTCAAGATGGCGTGGACTTTGCTTAAAGCGGCATGGCGGACGTTGACGGAGTTCACTTCGAGGATTTGGTCTCCGCGGCTGGGGAGGAAACGTAATCAACGCTGTGCCAACAAGTTAGCTGTTTACAAGGTTTCCTTCGGGGAGAGGTTTGTGACAAGGGACCTTTTCTGCACACTTTAAAGAAGCAAACGACATCCTTTTTATCTTGGCAAGCAAGTAAAAGAACAACACATTCGTATCAACACACTGGATGTGAGACTGGCAAAGGCTGTTATGTGTACCTCCCCACACTTTCAGAAGCAGTCACGTTCCATAACATGGACGATAAAGGACAACAACGCAGGCTACCAGTTCTTGAGCACACAGTGTGTGCAGGGGACTATGTGAAACGATGCACGTAATGACGCCCGAAGAGGGATTATTACTCCCATCAGGCAGAGAAGGCCCCGGGGCCACAGATGTCATCCAGATGTCACACTCTGTGGGGCTCAGGTCTGCCTACCTCTGGATCGTCACGTGGTAGTCCTTCGACCACCAGACCACCATCAGTTTTTTTTCTCCCATCATCTTGAAATGATTATTGTAATATAATTTAGGGAGGAAATATCTGAAGCTCAAAGGTTACCCAAGAATTTGTAAAAACATTTCAAATTTGGACAAATGAGAAATTGAGGACAAGATGCCCATTTCTGACTTGAAATTATAGGGAGAGAGCTCAGGGCGAGAGAACAAAGCCTCTCTATGTGGGGTTGGAGGAATGCTCACTTGGCAGGCTCCGGACATATGGAACCATTCAAGAACGAAACATCATCTTGGGATGTCATTAAAGGATTTTTCTCCTTGGGTTCTCAAAGTATATTTTCTTTAATGTACTTTGGATGATTTGCTAGATTTTTTTTTGTATGGAAATTCACTCTGATGATTAACTAAAAACATAATATAATCTATTAACGAGGCCCCAAAATGGCAACCTTGAGGACTGTCATTTTGACAATCCCTCAAAAGCTCAAGGACTTAGAAGCTTATGGGGGAGAAAGGTGATACTGTTTGCACAGAGTGCCTTGTTGAATACGTGTACATTCCTGTGACGTTTGAGCGGGCACAGACCCTCGGCCACCACCGTACGGCAGGACACCTAGGCATGTCTTGTGTAAACAGAATACCTGCCCAGCTAGCTGCCCTGAGAAATCAGACACGCGGTGACTTCAGACAGCAGGCATCTAGACCTCGCTGTTCCCACCCAGAAAGGAATGAGACCACAGGAAAGGTTCACGAGATTATACTTCATAAAAAAGGTCTCCGGTTCAAGGGCCGGATTTGAGGACTCTCAGACCATTGCGCCCAGCAATCCTGAGCTATGGTGAGCCGCTCCCAGCACCTCAAGTGAATTTCACATAACCGGACATGAAGAAAATAGGCAGGTAATCACGGTCATCGGTACAGAGCTGTATCTTGTCATTTCTGAAACGGAACTTCTGTGTCCAAATAGAATAAACTAGAAAGCCAGGGTCCAGAGTTCTCTGACTCAACCAAATTTCATTTAGATTTGCATGTCATCTTGGGAGAGGCTGTTTATGCTAACCCTGGCTATATTTCTGTAAATCATAGAAAGACTGAGAACCCCACAAAAGAGTGTAATAGGGCAGGTACCTCACATGTGTATGTGTTCAGATATCCCCCAACACACCGCGACCCTGCACGGTCAGGTTTACAACGAACCTCAGGTTGCTCTCCATCTTGGCCACGGATCCGGGGGCGAGGCTGTGGATGTAGATGCCCGGGGGGCTGTTTTCCAGAGCCAGGCAGCAGGCGCCGATGCCCAACCCGACTCTGGGCTCTTCGAGGGCAGCATCCGAGGGAAGCAACACCACCAAGAGAGAGAAGCATGAGTGATTTGAAACCGCATCAACGTGCAGTGAGACCAACAGCCACTCAGTGTTTGCCCAGACTCGGGACGCCAGGCCTGTTTTCCTTTGTGCACACTGCCATACTCTGTTAATGAAACGAGTCCACGGCAGAACCACGGCTAACTCTGGACTGTGATTTACTCAACGCTCTACTCTGCTTGGTCTAAAGAGCCTCTCGAATCTATTTTTTGGAAATAGGTGGAGTCGAAGTAATATATTTTATTCTGAGTACACAACTTTAGGTTTTGTTTTACTTCTCCTTTTAGTGCCTAATCTCTTTATTTTTAAACTGCGCCTCATGTTTCCACAGTAGGAGGGCAGGGAAAAGCAGTAAGATTTGCTGCTTATCACTCATGACTTAGTTACTGGTGTTGACTGTATTTTTAACCATAATCTTTTGCTCTTTAAAATTTTATATTAAGCGGGTTAAGCTGGTTGGTGGTGTTTGTAAACATGAGTCTCTAACACACAGTGATCCACCAGGGGTGTCTGTGGGCTACTGGTAACTTCCATTCCCTTCAGTAAAATGACTAATATCTCCAATTTTGATCCACTGTCCATTTAGAGAACACCCTCTGTTGTTGGCAGAGAGTGTTCCAAAGGAACACGTCATAGAAACAAATACAGGAGGGTAACCTAAGAACAAAGAACGTGTTATTTGAGAGCGTGCAGCGAAAGTGAGGAAGCGCGGGCGTCACCTTTGTTCAGCGTTACTTCCATGACAATTCTGTCCTTGGGCCCAGGGGCCTTCCGCCCCAGGGACGAGGGGCTGCTTTCATCGGGGCCTACTGCCGAGGTTCCCCCACTGGCATTGAAGTTTGGGGAGCTGGATCTGCTCATGTGCGTGGGTGTTGAGCAGGGCGTGAGGCTTGGACTCAGCAATTTTGTGCGTACCGTTAACACAAATAATCCACTCCGGATTTGCTGAGAAAGCAAAAAGAAAGTAGGGTTAAAACATTCACACTTTGTCCTTATGTCAAAGGGTGGAAGAAACAAAAACAAAAAACCAAACCCAAACCGGGAGGAAATGAAAAACAAAAAAAAACAAAAACCCATAAGGAGATAGAGATCAATGTGAATGTCGTTACCTTGAAGGTATGAATGGCTTCTTGAAACGTCAAGCCCTTTATTGGTATTCCATTTACATCTAGGATTTCATCCCCTAGTGAGCAAACAGGAGAATTACACTAATGTCAAGCTTTAATTTACGGGAATCTAACTGCTCAGTCAGTATGAGAATAGGATTCCACATGGTCCCTGATTTACAGCTCTATAAAATGAATTTTCTTGTTCCACAATCCACTTTCCTTAGTGCGGCTCCTAGGAATGTCACAAAAAGGGACAACTAATGGCAATGCATACTCTTTGGCAGTCACTCTCTATTTCCATCTTTAATTAAAGCAACAATGGGAAGCAACATGGTCTTATTCTTTAGCAATTGCCAAGTTTAATAACAGATGTCCTGAGTTTAGAGATCAAACTGCAAATAAGTGAGTCCCAAGTCTTTCCTTATGGTCTTTGTTTAAAAATTCAACCCACTGGCAATGAAGCATCAACACATACAACATGCGAGAAGCCACTCCTGCCTTTGCAGAGACGAGCTCTTTGAGGCCAGAGCAGCGTCGCTGGGCAGGGCAACTGGTTTCCACAATAGAGACAAAAAAAAACCACTTGAGATGTCATTTAGGAATGGCAGCCCCACCTCTAGAGACAGCCTAGATGCCTGGTCTTACTGGTGCTGCTGCAGGTTCTCAGTCATTGAGCTGGCAAGTTATTATACACTTCTACGTAAGAAATCATTGTAGGCTAATGTCGGCGTGCACACACACCCTCTCTCTCCCCGACCCCCTGCCCTATCCAGACCCATCTCCAGTCGCAAGAAGGTACAGTTGGGTTGTTTTCAAGTTGTTGATAGTGTCTGCTGGGAATAGGAAAGAACTTGGACATCCTGTTGACTTACCAGAGTTTGTGTCTAGTTTGTACTCTTATAACATGGTCTGCTTTTTAAAATAACAGTTCACCAAAAACACCACCCAGGGGCCCCGGATAGGAGAACAGAGGGACCCTGCACAGCAGTGCAGGACAGAAGAGGGGCTTTGCTTCCCCGTGACAGAGCAGAGAGCAAAAGGGCTGCCGCTTCCCCTCCAGTGCGGGGCCCACCCCAGGAGCGCACTGTGCACTTGACGCACAGAATTCTGTCCTGGAGTTTAAGGACAGATGCAGCAGCGCCCCGTGCACTTGTTCTGTGCCTTCTCGTCGATGCAATCACAGAAGTTGTGAAAGACTCTGTGTAAGAATCACCTCGTATAAGTGATTACTCGACTCGGTGAGGTTTTGGGTTTCTCTCCACATGGGAACAGGACAGAAACGTTAAAAGGATGGCTCGTGCTCTAAAAGAAATCTTTATACAAGACTCTAAAAAGACAGACCATCCAACAGGTCGACAATCCATTTCAATGACCTGTCTTCACTGTAAATGAATACAGATGGAAAAAAGTATTAGGAAGCACTGAGCGCTGTTAGCCTTCCCTAACTATCGATTCCCCCTCCATTCTGCTCCCTTCCGCCAGCAGCGCGGGGTGAATCTCAACCACGCCAACACAAGGCACATCCACCACGCACACGGTCTGCAGCGAGAAGTCTGCATTGATCTGTCTGTAGACACAGACACGGCCTGGGAGCCACCCCTTCCTCTAACGGAGGGGAGTAAGTATCCTGCCATCAAAGTATCCAGCCTGCTCGCGAATCAGCACTGGCAGACAGGCTTCCCCGGGTCAGTCTGCCTGGAAAAGGGGAACTCCAATGCACTCCATCGTGGAAAAAAAAAAAAACCCAAAGCAAACCAATCCCGGTTAACTGAGCGGCAGCTCTACTTCGGGCAACCTCAGCGAAGACTCGCAGCATCTCTGGCAACTGGAAATCCTGCGACTGAATCGTTCCATGAGGGATGGATATTATGAAAAGGAAAACATCTGAATCCATGACTGAGTTCTGGGGATCTGCTGCACAGCCCGGTGACTGCAGTTAACAGGGCCCCTTGTATTCTTGGAAACTGTTGATAGGGTAGACCTTAAATGTTCTCGCCACACACACACACAGCAGGTGAGGGGAGGGGAGGAGCTGTCGACTAACCTAATTGCAGCCATCGTTTCACAATATATAAGTGTATCAAACCATCCTGTTGCACACCTTCAACTTACATAATGCTACCTGTCAATCATATCGCCACACGCAGGGGTGGGGTGGGGGTGGGAGCGCTTGTTTAGTGTGTTGATGTGCGTGTGGCAAAACGTGCTGTGGAGAGGGTAAAACATGTTTAGCTACCCAGCCCTGAAGCAAGGGCGGACCACAAATTCACAGGAATTTTCAAGGCCAGGAACCTGATTAAGGAGCAAGGGAATGAGGCAGGCACTTAAAGGCCCAAATGAAAGGCAGCGAGCCATTTTTCATAGCTTATCCCATTTAATCCTCACAACTCTTCAAGGTTGTTATTAATGTCCGAGTTTATAGCTGAGGACAGTGAAGCTCAGGTTGCAGCTGTCCAAGGTCGTGACGTGGCAAGTGCTGGGTTCAGCCCAGGTCTCCCCGCCTCTTGGCCCATGGCCTCAACTGCTGTACCTTTGTTCCACGTCTTGTACAGGGGCAGGTTGCCATGGAATCACCGCTCGCCCCCGCTGAGGACCTACCTTCTTTAAGTCTTCCATCCTCTGCAGCCGATCCGTTCGGGAATATGGTCTTGACGAAAATCCCCATCTGTCCTCGAATGCAGTCGCGACCGCCCGCGATGCTGAAGCCAAGGCCCTGCACCCAAAGCAGACGGAGGTCCGGGCTGTCACTACGGCACTTCACCGGGGGCACCTTTCCCCATTTCGGCATTTCGCCGAGGGCATCCTTCCCAGCAGAGTACCAAACTGAGGTGTCCTCCCCGTCACGCTCGTGGTTAAGCTCACCAGCTGTAAAGTCAAGTCTGCATTCCCTCCCTCTCCCCCTCGCCGCCCTGACGTGCCCCCCCCCCACCTGGTCCGCCGTAACTACTTGCATTGTGCTGGCCACGTTTCACATTAAAGGGAGAAAATTTTAGGTTTTTAGGTTGAAACATCAAATACTCGATATTTGAGAACTTTCCCCAAAATGGCAATTTCAGATGGAGCGACTACATATCTCACAAGAGTCACTTCATTCTCTTCGGTGCCATCTTTGTTTTATTCTTTGGTTGCAGTCTTTCCATTTTGTGTAACATCCAATCAGTATTCTGAGACTTGTATAAAGATCCAGTTACATGTGTTATTATTCTCGTTATGGTAACGTCAGGATCATGGAACTCATCCAAGAGGTTAACTGGGAGTATAGCCTGAAGCCATAGGGTCTGCTTTTCTCTGAATTGTGGTGGCAGTTGGGACATTCAGCTCACCAGTGATTCTGTCCTAGCAGCCAGGTGCTGGTGACCCCTTAAATCGTAAGGACAGGAGGGTGTGACCGTGTCACTCAGAGGCCCCCAGGAAAGGGTGCCCCGGATCCACTCAAATACACACAAAGGCCACATCATCAATTCCTCTTTAAACATTTTTAAAAAGCTTTACTTTTTATTTTATATTACAACAACAATAGAAGGCAACCATTGAAGAACATGTATGCTAACCTTTCACAGGGGGGCAGGGACAAAGCTGTGGGCAGAAGGGAGCTCACCTTGCCCTTCTCTTTGTACAGCCCGATGATGGAGATGACCGACGGCCGGATGAGTCTCCAGGGGGATTCCACCTGCGTGGCGCTCAGGGAGCGGGTGGACTTCTTCACGATGTGGAAGTCCTGCAAGTGAGCAGGCGGCAAGGTCAGAGCACGTCTCGCTTGTGCTTCCGGGGCCTCCGGCATGAAAACAGACTCAGACTTTGAAAGCCTCACTTGTCTTTTGGGTTACGCCGCCATTTCTTCCCTGGTCCGGCAGCTTAAAGGACATTTATTACAAATAACATGGGAGGAATAGCTCTTCCTGAAATAAATTGCCACGCCTCCTTCCTCCACAGAAAGAACGGCTGGGAGCCCACAGACGTCTGTATTTCTTTCCTCAACTACTCTCCACCGTCCCAATTCCTGCTTTTCTGGACTGGAGTCAGGAACCAGAAACCAGGATGTCTCACGATGTCCGGTGACCACGCTGGGGTCACCCTCTGCCCCCACCCCAAGTTCACGGTTGTGGATGGAAAGCATTCACTGTTCTAAGCTTAATTCACTCGCTCAAAAACTTAAGCCCTTGTTTCTTATAAAACCCAAGCTGCAAATGCAGATATAATTGTTATTCTGTATAAACCATCCCACCAGGAAACGGTATCAGCTCCCGTTCTAATCCCTCACTCTTGGACAATAAAGTACTTTCCCTTCCTGGCACACACCAGTGCGAATCTCGACCTCTTTTTTCTGTTCCCAGTATATGCACTTGTAAGCAGGGCATACAACTTATAATGTAAGAGATTATATGACTCTGTTGCTAAAGCATTCCTACAGGCTAGCTCCTTGCTATTCTTCTTAGAATAAATTTCCTAAATGCCAAATTTTCTAGCATTAGCAAAAAAGAAAAATCACTTCATATTTAATATTAGAAAAGAAGCATCAGAAATAGTTTTTATCCTTAATGGGTGTATTCTACTTTCAAAGGTACAAACGAGATGTCTGCTAATGATATTTTTGTTTTCCTGGAAGCTAAGAACAATTGTATTTTGCAGTTTCACAAAACACCTGCCAGCCATGTGGGCCTCCCAGGCCCAGATTCAGTGAAAAAAATAAAAAAGATGCTGGCTTGGCAGAGTCACTGCCCTTTTGCTGAAACCCCCATGGACATGGCCGGACAGCGCCCACGGGTTTATGGTCCTGGAACGGAGAGGCCGTGTATTGACTGGAAAGGGAACTTTCTCTGGCCACCGATCTCCAGCAGCACCTCCCCCATCCCCCCCTTGGGGACCCACAGGCCTGTCTGCTTCACTGTTCTAACAGTTTCAGGGGGTCCCCACTGAACTTTCTAGAGCGGTGCTGTCCAAGATGGCAGCCACTAGCCACCTGTGGCTGTCTATATTTAAATTAAACTGAAAAACTATATTTTAATGTTAATGAATTAAAATTAAAAGCACAGTCCTCAGTCTCACTAGCCACTTTTCAAGAGACATGCGGCTGCCATTTTGGGCAGTATAGATATAAGACATTTCTGTCACTGCAGAAAGTTTTAATGGATATATTTTTATCCTCGTCCGAGGACATGCTTATTGATTTTAGAGAGAGGGGAAGGAGTGGGGAGAGTGGGGGACAGAAACATGCATGTGAGAGAGACACATCGACTGCCTGCCTCCTGTACATGCCCAGCCCAGGGACTGCACCCGCAACCCAGGCAGGCGCCCTGACTGGTGATCGAACCTGTGACCTCTCCGTGTACAAGGCGACGCCCAACCCACTGAGCCACGCGGGCCAGTATGGATAGCTCTCTTCTAGATAATACATTTTAGTGGAGGAAGACAGAACAAGAACAAAGAAAGAATCCTGGGAGAAAAAGAAAAGGGCAGAAAATAAGAAGACAAAACGAAGGACAATTTAAAGAGGAAAACAAAAGCCCTGTAAAATCTTTACTAGCCTGTGCTTCCTAGTTCCTGGAAGCCTGGTTAGAAATAGGTATTCACAGGCTACAAAGGCGGCCGGGTCCCCTCAGCAGGTCGTCCTCTGGCTGCCGGACATCCTCGGCCGCAACGGCAGCTGACCCTCTCCCGTCCCGCACTAACTGCAGCAGCCCAGCCCCACAGCGTGGCTCTCCTCCGCTTTCTGATCTCGTGCGCTGGTCCACCTGCATCATTCTTTGTGGTCACAGACTGGGCGTTTTCACCAGGTCCGAGGCGCGTGTTTTGCTCTGTTTTCTCTTGATGTCCCCACTCAAGTTGCCTTCGGGCGGGATGGACACCAAACGGCCTAATTAGCAACGGCCTCGGAACTGCGGGCACTTCTCAGGTGAAGCTTCCCTCACTGTGATTCTGGCATGTCACTCTGAGCAAAGCACTCCACCTCCTTGGGATTCCTTTGTCCTATCTGTAAAATGGTGACCCTGCATTTAAAGTAAGGGCCCGACCCAGGTGTGCTAACCTGGTCCTTTTGAGCTCTACGGTCTATGTGTCTCCAAGCATTTTCAGGTGTCATGACAGCCCCATCCTCTTCTCCTCCGCCTCTGCTTCATCACAGGCCTGGGGCCAGGTGCGGGTGGTCCCTCTTAGCCCTCTGGCTAATGGGCCGGGACTCAGAGAATCCTCCCCAAGGTCCCCAGAGACTGAGCCTGCCTCCAACGTGGTGGTTATGAGACACTCACTCCATTTCCACTGGGTTGAGGATGATGTAATTGAAGAGGAATCCCCATTTGGGGTTAGGAAGCTCTAAACACTTATGGGGACAGGCCCTGGAATATCAGCATCGCCACCCACGTCACCCCTCCGGGCAGCCCCCTCTGACCCTGGCTGTTTGAGTCGTTCCTGTGCAACACGTAGGGACACAGGCGCAGCACAGGCAACACACCACGCGCACCCCCTTCCTTCTCTCACAACCCAACGTCCACCCGCCCAGCTGTGAGGCTGACACCTGACATGCCTGCTGAACAAGGAGTGGTGATTCGCCCCAGACCGCGGGGCGCCGCCGTCTCCCGGCAGTTGAAGGCAGCTCTCGGTGCCAAAGCGTCAAGGCGTCAAGATCCAAGGGGGGATTATTCTTCCCTAGTGTTTTAAATACTGGGCTGACTTCCTTCTTGCCTCCCCAGAAAGACCTTACTCCTGGTATTCTAGCTCTAGTCCCAACTACTCCCGGCCCACACAGATGGGCAGTGGTTCAGGACACAGGCCCTTGCTGGTCTTGGGAAGAACTGAGAGAAGCTGAGAGACCCCAGGGAGGAAACTTGCTCTTTCGTCCCTGACTGGTCAACGGTGACCGCGCGAGAAAGCGCGCAGCTCCACGGCACTGCCCACCTGTGCTGTGCTCGAAGATTCCAGTAGCTGGGGGAGAGAGTGCTTCCGGCCATCTCGGGACACCTCCAACATCCTGGCCCGGGGGTCCCCATTTTGCACCATCAGCTCGTTATATTCTTCAACAGATTCTAGACGGTGTACACCTCCTTGAAAATACAGGGGGAAAGGCATGGCTTGATATGGGACAAAGAGAAGCTTAAGAACATACACAGGCATAAACCTGTTGTATTTATACCCACATTCATGCCTTTCAGAAGGCCTGGCGTCCAATTCTTTCAAAGCACTGGGTCACCATGTTCTACCATCAAGCTCTGTATAAGATTAGCATGTGTTGAAGCAGTAATACCAGATTATGAAGAAAGTGCCAGTTTTTGAAGGGACTAGATAAGGGCTATGTATATACGAGGAGGACCCCCTTCAAAAGGCGGAATTATCTTCTGGAGGTTGGGCTCCTTGTAGTACAGGCTTCCCTCCACTATGTGAGTGTCCTAGGAACCCAGCTGTACCAGTGTACCAGCTGGTGTTGTTGTGAGAGGCTGCATTTGGTTTCGGTGAATTTTTTAAAAAGACTTTTTCAATGTGTTTGCCCATTTCACGGTGGGTGATTTATGAATGTACCTCCCCACACAGTGCTGAGTGTTCAGCAGTTTTTGACCAAGAACAGCATGACCCGTATACCCCATCCTCCCTATTCAGCTGATCTCACGCCAAGTGACTCTTTCTTGTTTTCCCAGAGGAAAAAAGTCCTTAAAGGAAAATGGTTTGCCGATGTGGAAGAGGTGAAACAAAAAACAGCAGAAGCACTAAAAGGCATCAACACTGACGAGTTCAAAACTGTTTTGAATAGTGGAGAAAAGTCTCAACAGGTGTATTGCATCAAAAGAAGAGCACTTTGAAGGTGACTAAAGTGTAAACATGTAAGAATAAATACACAAATTTGTATAAATAAATTCCACGTTCTTTTGGGTGCCCCCCTGTATTTTGTCCAATAAGGTGTAGCCATGGTTGCCAGGGGAATAAACGGCAGTGAGGATGCTCCCAGGAGGCTGTTTTCTGGTGATGGAGGGACGCCGCTCCGTGGTCGGTACAGTGCCATTGCTGGGGCGGACGGGCTTTGTTTCATGTGTAATGACTTAAAAAAAAACTTAAAATGCACAGAAATGTGGACGAATAACTGTACCGTGTCCTGAAATCTCACAAAGTGGAGGTACCAACAACTGACACCGAAACCAAGAAACAGAACCTTGCCAGAACCTGCAAGCCCATTTTGTGAGGCTTACCACCTCTCCCCAAGGGTAACCACGATCCCAGTTCCTAACATCACAGACTGCTTTTGCCTCTTTTCAGCCTTTATATAAGTGAACACATACAATGTGTACTTTTTTGTGTGTCTGGCTCCTCATTCTTTTTTTAAAAATTTAAAACTATGTATCTATTGATTTTAGAGAGAGAGGAAGAGAAAGAGAGAGAGAGCAACACCGATTGGCTGCCTCCCGCACACACCCAGCCAGGACTCACACCCACAATCTAGGTATGTGCCTTGACTGGGCATTGAACCCCCAACCTTTTTCGTGTATGGGATGACGTTCCAATCCAGCCACACAGGCCCGGGCTGGCTCCTCATTCTTAGCATTTGTTTGTGAAATTCAACCAGGTTGTTGCGTGCCAACAGACTGTTCATCCCATTTCTTTGTAGTATTTTATTGTATAAACACACCATTTCTGTGTACTATTTCATGGTATAAACATCCATTCTTTTGCTGATGGACATCTGGTTCAATTCCAGTTTTAGGTCTAGAACAAGCGTCAGAAAGCTTTTTTTTTTTTTTTTTTCATAAAGGCAGGACAGTCAATGTTTTAAGCTTTATGGGCCACAAATGGTCTTGGTCACATATTCTTTACAAACATTTTTTATAACTCACTAAAAATGTAGGAAGCATTTCTAGCTTGTGGGTCCTACAAATACAGCCACTGGCGGCGGTTTGCTGACCCTGGTCTAGAGTGTGCTGTTACAGAACACTCTCGTGCATGTCACGTCTGCGGGACGTGGCGCTGGGAGTGGAGCTTCTGGGTCACAGGTGTACCTGCACCTTCCCAACATCCTGTCGCCAGTGTGCACGAGTCCCCTACATCTGTGTCACACTTGGGGTTGTCTGTCTTTAATTTTAGCCATTCTGCTGGCTACAGAATGGCATTTTATCACAGTTTTCATTTATATTTCACTGATGACTAATTGTGATTGAGCTTCTTCTAAAATATTCTTTGGCTGTTTTTCTTTTTGGGGGGGAGTACTATTTTTTACCTTTTTCTGTTTATTTTTTCACATTTTTTCAATTGTTGTTCAAGTACAATTGTCTCCATTTTCTCCTCACTACTCCTCCCCCACCCCCCTGCTACCCTGTTTTTCTTTTGTAAAGTGACTGTTCAAGTCTTGCTCATTCTTCTACTGGGTTTACTCTGTCTTTTGTTGGTTTACAGAATTTTGTTACTAGACTTTGGGTATCTGCACAGATCGTGGGATCTGCGCACTGTGGGTGTCCTCTGCACGTCTGTACGGGGTGATGTTCCAATCAAGCCACTTCACTCTCCAATGCTTTTTTTTTTGATAAGCAAAAATCCATAATTTTAACATAATAAAATATATAGATCCCCACTCCTTTTTGGTTAGTACTTTTCGGTCCTGTTTAAGAAATTTTATAGTAATGATTGTTAAAGATGCCACCATCATCAGCACCTCCTTTACATTATATGCTATTTAAAAATAAGATAATTTAAAGGACCTTAATCTTAAGTGATCTCTTAATTACACTAAATATAATAGCTATAACCACGCTGTACTGTCTACATCATCCACTCTATCAGCCATTTTCAATCTTTTTCATCTCAACGGCACACATAAACTAACTACTAAAATTCTGCGGCACACCCCAAAATGTATATTTTCCTGATCTGACAAAAAATAGGTATAATCTTTGATTCCTTCACACCAGATGGCTGCCCTTGTGTTGACTGTTGTCATTTTTAAATGTGAGAAGGGAAAAGGGAGCAGTGCCCCGACTAATGTTTTAAAAATTCTTGTGCACACCGGCTGAAAATTGCTGCACTATATATATATACATGTATCTATGTATATATGTGCGTGTGAATATAGCTGTACGCACATATAGATTCATTGAAATATCAAGCTCTCCTGGACCATGGAATGTTTTATTTGATGGCTTCAAACTTCACTTACCTAAAAGTTTTTCATGGGATAAAACTAGGTAAGTCTGTACTCTTTTACATATAATGATGAACTTCCAAGAGCAATGAAAAGTTAGACTAGGGCTGATAGATATTTTAAAATGGACATCACTAAAGGCTTGCTTTTTCAAAAGCTGGATATTAACTTTGTGACACAGGTTTTCAAACACTTGAAATTCCTTTGCAGTCAAAGAGAATCTTCCATTTAAAAAGATCATACACCTAAGGCATTAACACGGATAAATCAAAAATACCAAAATTAAAAGGGAGCCCTGCCGGCAAAAAGGAACGCGTGAAGGATGAAACCTCAGGTTAAAACTTCATAAAAAAATGTCCCATGGAATCGCTTTAGTCATTTTTTTGGAGCCAGACTGGGCAAAACGCATAGTGGAAATGGCTGGAACCTCTTTACAGAACCTCCTTAATAATTCATGACGAGATTAATCTGTCGTGGCACGCATACTCAACTGAAAAAGATTGATTAGAAGGAAGTTCCTTTGTAGCCGACAGGGAAGCACTTGCCACCGACAGAAGAGAAACCACGTACGGTGGTGTCTGTAGATCACATACCGACATGCAAATACCAGGGCGACTCACTTTAAGGAAATATAAAATAAATATCCAAGTTTGCAGGACAAATTAGGAGCTCATCACATTAACATCTTCTGTATTCAAATGTCTGTAGATGGAACATATTTCACAGTGCTGACTGCAGACCCAATTCCTTAAGCCTCTTTAAAAGGGCCTCCAAATTGCTTTTCCAGCCTTATCTCCCACTGCCCGGCTACATGAATCCACCGCTCTAGCCTGCTGATTCTCAAAGGAAAGAATTTGTCCAAAACTTGCATCCTTTCCAAAACTGGGGAGCACATAAATATCCCCTGGCAGTTCACCCCACTCGGCCGGCCCCATCCCCTCCCCCCACCCCAGGAGTCTCCTTTCCCCTCATTGCTCTGATGAGCTCTGCTGGATCCAGTCGCCGTGACTGTAGAATTGCTGGTCTTGCAGATACACGAGGAGGAGAACCGGTCGCCCCAAACTTCTCTCACCAGTTTTTTCCCCTCGTCCCTAAGCATCTATTGTGCTGTTTATCCACACACCTAGAGCAGTACTGTCCTTCCCTTCTGTGATACCAAATCCTGCCAAGGCCCTGGCCACCCCCGGAATGCGTCCCCCTGGCACCACAACCCAGAGAGACTCCAAGTCCTTGGAGCTCTGAGCTGCCTTCTCATGGCCTGTGCATTCCTGGGGCTTGTCCCTGTACCCGGTGAAGCCCCTTCCCCTCCTGAGAGGGAACGAGGAGAACAAGGACGATGACAGGGATGATGTGATATTAATGACAGCCATGGTCATGACAGTGGCAGCTACTGCATGGTGAGGGCCCAGTGCCACCACACTTTGGAGTGGCCCTCCCCTGTATGTTCCCTCAACTTCATGTTTTTTTTTTTTAATTTTCACCCAAGGACATTTTTTCATTGATTTCAGAGAGAGGGGAATGGAGAGAAACATTGATGTGTCAGAAGCACCTGCTGGTTGCCTCCCCCCACCCCCCACGCCTGGACTAGGGATTGAATGCACCCAGACCTGGAAGCGAACCTGCCACTCAGGCATGCGTCCCAACCAGGGTCAAGCCTGCAACCTCTCAGTTATGGGCCGACGCTCCACCTAACCGAGCCACACCGGCCGGGGCATTCAACTCCACCTTTCGACAAGGCCTGGCACTTAGAAGGCACGCACACTGATTGGCAGGATAAATGGAGGAACAGAGAACCAGAGAAGTGGGGTCACTTGTCCCAGGTCGCACAGAGCTGGGCAATGCTTCCCCCACATTTCCTGGGTATGGCCCTGGATGTCTGGGAAGGACACAGGAAGGGAGGGGGCATCCGTATACAGCGAACAGCAGCCAGCCCTGGGTTTATTACTCAGCTGGTTGTGCAGCTCATTCCAAATTAACAGAATAAACAGTTAGAGTCGTGGGTCTGGAAGGTCCTCAGCTAGACGTCCCTCCCCACATCTGTATCTATGAAGCCCCAGACTGGGGAACAGGATTCCTTTCAAGATCCCGGGGAAGTAAAGGGGTGGGTGAGAAGAACTCTGTGTGGGAGGCAGATCTGGGTGGCACTGTGGCACTGAATGAGTGACCGTTGGGATTCTCTAAACTTCACTGGTCTCACCCAAAAATGAGGAATGTGACTGCCCCAGTTTCAAAGTCCCCTCACGTTTCCCCAGAGCGCTGTGGCCCTCCTCTGGGAACTGTTTATAAGGTGTTGATCGACTCTGCCAAGACAGCCGACCTAAAGGTCTCCTCTGCGCTTCTGGTCCCAAGTATATGCAGGACTTAAATGTACGAGGCCTGTCCAGAAAAAGTCCAGCCATTGTAACCACAACAAGAACAGTTTGCCCAACATTGATGTAACCTGGCAGCCAAGGAGAGTGGACGGGAATGCGTGTGTTTGGACAATGATGACTTTACTGCACTAGTCAGTGTGGGGGGGTGGATTCTGTTGGGTGAGCACATGTACTGTGTGGTGGTCGCATTCAAAATGAACGAGCAAGTAAAGCATTGAATCTGCATCAAATTTTGCATGAAGCTTGAACATTCCTCTGTGTGGAAACTATTCAGATGATTCAGAAGGCCGCAGCTATGGGCAACTGGTGATTGGCAGCTTCATCGTGACAGTGAGCCTGTTCGTGCATCACGTTTCATACAGAATTTTTGGTGAAACGTCAAATCACCCATGTGGCTCAGTGCACCTACAGCCCAGATTCGGTGCCCTGTGACTTCTGGCTTTTCCCAAAACTAAAATCACCTTTGAAAGGGAAGAGATTCAGATCATCAACAAGATCCAGGAAAATATGACGGGGCAGCCAATGGTGACTGGGAAAACTGTGTGAGGCCCCGAGGTGCCTACTTCGAAGGGGACTGAGGCACCACTGTCCTACGTACAATGTTTCTTATATCTTGTATCTTCCTCGGTAAATGTCTCTGTTTTTCATATTACATGGCTGGGTACCTTCCGGAGAGACCTCGTGTTTCTCTCAGCTGTTCCTCATGCTGACTCTCCTTCACCACCCTCAGGTCATCACACTGCCTTGTCACAAACCCACATTCCAGCATTTGCTAAAATACGCACCACCTAATTATTCTGAGTTACAAATACAAAGCAACCCATTTTGTTACTAAAGAAATGAAACTGATACATTCTATGGCCCTAGACCTGCCACCTCATCTGAGAACAACAGTCCAGGGCCAGGTGGGGTGGTGGGAGGCGGGGGGTGGGGGACATTCTTGGTTGCCAGGCATAGATACCACCTCTCACCCCTGATCTGAGGAGCAGAAAGAGGAAACTCACTTTTTCGGATGCTAACATACACGCTTTGTGCTAGCAGCTTTTATGTAAGTTTATTACTTTTAAGAATCTGCTCAACCTTTCAAAGTCAGTATTATCGCCTCCTTTTTCCACACGAGGGAATGGAGGTTCAGGGATGTTAAACAGTCAGCCCAAGGTGATACGGTAAGACAGGGGCTGAGGGGTAAGCTGGGTTCTGCCAGCTTCCAAATCCTGCTACACTTGCTGCCTCCCGTGGACAGGCAGCCAGGGCCGGCTTCTCCAGCAGGCCTCGGACACGGTGCCGAGGGCCCGCGGCACTTTCAGGGCTCACGAGCCAATAGCGAGTCCAGCTTGTAACTTTATCCTAATGCAATCATGAAACATAAGTTTAGTGCTTTTTGTATCCTCACCCAAGGATATGTTTATTGACTTTAGAGAGAGAGGAAGGAAGACGGAGAGAGACATGGATCAGTTGCCTCCTGTGCGTGCCCCAAGTGGGGATCGAACCTGCAGCCAGGGTATGCGTCCTCACTAGGAATTGAACCCACAACATTTTGGTGCATGGGACAACACTCCAGCCAACTGGCCCACCAGGCCAGGGCGAGTATATTTTAACAGAGAAAAGAACCTGGCGAAGCAAAGGAGCCTGGGATCCGCGGAAGCCACTGGGTCCCAGCACACAGCCTCTGCTTCCAACACTAACGCCCTCTCTCGGGGCCCGGGCCAGTCGCCGTAGGGCTGTGCCCGGGAAACGTCAAATCTGTGTCTGTTCCAAAAGCTGCCACTGCATCCCCTGACCGCCCCCCACAACCACACGAGGTGAAATGCAGATTTCGGATTACATAAACAGCTCTTTGCCCCTTGTTCTGGTGTGGGCTTGGGGGAGAGGTATGTTTGCTGGGAACACAGGCCATCAGAAATATCCCATACCGAAAGGGTCCTACTGAAGGAAACGAACCACACACACAGGACATTCACATGTCAGCAGAGACAAACAGAGATGTTCACAGTCGTTTCATTATGACTCAAAAACATCATCCACCCGGGAAGCCAGGCGGAACGTAGTTTTATACCGGAGACATGCACTATCTCAAGGAAAACACTTCTGAGGTTTTAAGGGAAAAAGAGAGGCCACCCTGCTAATGGCTCTGCACCCCCACCGCTGAGGCTGGAACCTTATTTTCAGAACGATCGTAGAGGGCGGAGTCCCACGTACCTGACAGACGGCTCTTGAGCTTCATCTTACTGCCGCCCTGCTTGGGACTTTCCAGGTTTCCCTTGGCGTCCTCGGAGCCACCGGGGTCGTGGGCCTCATCTGCCCCGGGGACCTGAAACGCAAAGTGCACAGAGCTGAAGGGGAGGCTGGTGCAGTCCCTTCCGGGGAGGCATCTCCAGGCTGGAGGAGCCGCAGAGCCAGGTACCACGTGAGAAATAAGGATCCACGCACAGCCCTGCTGGTAACCTGGAACTGCGCGGGCGAGTCCTTCCCCCGCACGCATCTCACCGGACAGCGCAGAACCCGGGACGTTCCCAAGTTGTTCGTTTGTTTTCAATCCTTACCCAAGGATATGTTTATTTTTTTCAATCCTTACCCAAGGGCATGTTTATTGATTTTAGAGGGAGAGGAAGGGAGAGACAGAGGGAGAGAAATATTGGTGTGAGAGAGAAACATCGGTTGGTTGCCTCCCGTACATGCCCCGAGCAGGGGTCAGCCCCTCAGCCCGGCATGTGCCCTGACTGGGAATCGAACCCACATCCTTTCGATGTTTGGAATGATGCCCCAACCAACTAAGCCACTCAGCCAGGGCAGGTTCCAGAGTTTATAGAGCTTGAGGGGGTCTTTTCATTTCTTGAGAAAACTTTTTGGACAAGATCACCCATGTGGTCAGTGGCCACAAAGCCACAGCTGGAGCCCAGGACTTTGGACATGGGGGTTAGTGCTTTTTCCCATGCAGGAAGTTGCAACAAATAGTAAGCCAGAAATTTAAACTCAATTCTAAGGTTCTTAAAATATAGGAAAACTTTGATTTTGTGGTAGGCAAATAACCACAGCCCTTGGGTCAACCGGATGGTCCGTGTGCCCTGCTCCGAGTGCTGCTTCAACACCTCCCAAGCCCAGCCCTGACCAGACCGTGTGGAGGTGTCCACACAAGGCCCCCCCACATCTGTAGGTTGCACGTCTAGGCTGCCAGACGGCAACAGGTGACGCAGAAGGATGACACCCAGACCCACCGGGTTCTCCTTCTGAGAAAGGCCAATCGTGCTTTAAAAAAGTCCACCAAAACTACAAGTCTCAGAGAGGCGACACCTGCACTGAGAGTGTTCATAAAAAACCTGGGGGGAGGGGTAAATTTACTCGTACAAAACTTACGAGATACATCCAACAGTGAGCCTTCCCATTGGAAATTTCATTTTTCCTTTGAGGTTCAGGGAGAAATAAAGCCGGAGTAGTTAAAAAAGCTAAGATTCAAGTGGAGGAACATATACTTTAAAATGACAGAAGATACCCTTTAACACTCAGCAGTCGTCGGACACTTATGTAACTAAGGTTAAAAAAACTCTGAAATTTAATGGAAAATAAAAACTATATATGGTGTCTAAACTTCAGTATGAAAATGTATAAAGTAAGCAGTAAGAGTAACGTCCCAGGTGAACCCCCTTTTAAGAGGTAATTTGTTTATATATAAATTGTATGTAATACATAAGATTTGGAAGATTTGCCCTTTGCCCTCAAGTTCCTGCCCTCAAGTTCAAGCATATTTCTGGATAAGAAACCGAAAAAAATGGGTCTGAGAAATGAGGAGATGTTGGCAAATTGAGGAAGGGGCTTTGGGAGAACAAATTAATCCTGACATATAAAACTAAGATAAATCTGGTGAATTCCTATCACAATGTCAGGACTGGCAGCTCTCCAGGCTTAAATGATGAAGTAAAGGCAGGAATGGAATCCTGAAGGTGATTTTCGCGATTCTCTGGAGAGCGGGCTTCCCCAGCCTCCCGCTGTGATGTTAATTCATAGGCACGCAAAGGAGCCCTCTTGGAGACATGCCCGAGATCTGGGGCATGGAAAGAAACATGCAAATGGAAATGACCCGGGGGGAAGCCTCCCCTTTGCTCGGTTTAAAAACTTTATGGAAAGAACCTGTCTCCAGACTGTAAACAGCAACTCCGGGAGACTGAGTTAAGTTCTGGTGCTTGTTCATTACACCCCCGGGCCATGGCATCAGCCTACAGAGCGAGGCAGGCCCTCGGTTTACAAGTCGTTACCTCCTCTGGCGCCTGTTTAGGGGGGCAGCTTATCACGCAGTGGCCAAGGCCCAAGCCAACAGAAAGCCTGAGAGAAGCTCACGTCAAGGGGGGGGCCATCCCAGCCCACTCTTTCTGGATGTAGGTTTCCTCCGCCCGGTCTCCCCACTATTTTATTCCAGCATAGCCCCAGGTTTTCAGATTTCAGAAATTTTGGAGATGACATGAGCACTCACGGGAATAACCAAGAAGAAAAGTGGCCGGCCCACGGTTTATCCACTCATTCCAGGCAAAAGGCGGGGACTTCCACTTCAGTCCCTGACTTCCAGCTTCGTGTACTGCTAGGGTACTTCCCACCCCTCTATTCTAAGGTGCTTTTAAAGATTTTATTTATTTATTTTTAAAGAGAGGGGCGGGAGGGAGAAAGAGAGGGAGAGAAACATCAACGTATATAGCTGCCCCTTGCACGCCCCCTACCTGGGACCTGGCCTGCAATCCAAGCATGTGCCCTGACTGGGAATCAAACCAGCAACCCTTTTGTTCAGAGGCTGGTGCTCAATCCATGAGCCACACCAGCTAGGGCTGCTTTTAAATTAATTAACTTTGGATGATCAGTACTGAACCCCGTGGCCCATGGGCTGCAGTCAGCCCAGGGTGGCTACAAATGTGACCCAACACCAAATGGTAAACTTAAAGCATTTTTTGCTCATTAGTTTTCGCTGGTGATTGTGTATTTACTGTGTGGCCCAGAACGACTCTTCTTCATGCAGGGTGGCCCAGAGACGCCCAAAGTTTGGACTCTCCGCCCCATTCACCTCAGTTTTTCCCCACTTGATTTTCACAGCAGACATGTCTCCCAGGGTAAACATTATCTTCATTTGACAGATGAGGAAAGGAAAGTGAGACCTGAAAGTTTACAACCGAGACATCGGTTTTCACACTGACTGGGTGCGAAGAAAGTCAGTACGAAATGAGTGGTGCAGAGTTTTACAAGGGCACAGACGCCATGTCAATCCGAAGTCCTCGGGAGGCAAATACAAGTGGTGTGAACTCCTCCTGGTTTTCAGAGTCTGCGGGAGGTGGCTTAGAGGTCAGAATCAGAACCTTGAAGAACAATCTTTTCCGTGGCCTTCAGATACAGCAAAGAATGAAATGAGATTTGGTTTCTATGATCTATGTAATACGCAGTAAGATGTCTGAGACCAGAGAAATTGGTGGTAAAGATGGTGCCTCTCACATCACTACTGCAAGCCTGTGGCTGACCAGAAAGAGCGGACCCAGAGCTCTCTCAAAGCGCTGGAAAAGGGACCTTGCACAGGTGCCTCCCAGCACAGGGACCCGATTCGAAATGGAACCACTTCCTCTTGCAGCAGAAAACCGGTCTGTCATGATTTTGGGTGGCTTGTAACTCAATGAACAGGAAGGAAGTTGCTTAGATACATTAGTTCCAGATTATTTCAGGAAGTAGCAACCCTGGAAGTGCAATTTTGATTACAATGAGCCTCGCTGTAGTTTTATGACTATTGTCTGAAAATGTTCACATTCTAAGAAAGTCCCTTTGTTGTACTTTCTTTCAGATTCGCAGAACAAATCAAACTGTTCTGGAAATGATGTCATGTGCAAAAAATTCTGGAAGGCCTTTGGTTCAGAGAAGCAGTTGATACAATCTATCATTCATCACCAATTTCCAATTCATGTGTCATACAACAATGCCATTATATTAATGGAATCTGATACAACTTGCCAACTTCCCGGGGAGAGCCCCTCTGTTTGCATTCTTTTCCACACCTGTAACCTAGGTGAGTCTCTCCCATTGAAGATGAGTCTCTCGCTTCTGGTTTTAGAACGAGGTGGGAGGGCAGAGAGGCTGAGAACCCAGCTGCCTGGGTGCAAATCTCGCCACATCATTTATTAGCAATGTAGGCACATATGTCAGCCTTTTTGAGCTTCGATGTCCTCCCATCTGAAAAATGAGGCTCAATTTAAAAATTGAGTGATACAGGCTTCCGATAAAAAAGATGGGCAGATTTCCTCTTGAAACCATACTAAAATGAGAGGGAGGAGATTTTTAGAATCAAAGACATAATCCCACAAGGACAGAGAGAAGAGAAGAGGACAGCAAGCAAGTTCTCAACGCCAGTACGTAGACCAACGTGTGGCCAGGGGTCCAAGCTGAGGAAGCCGAGCCCTGACCTGGCATCGCAGAGGGACTCGGGGGAATCCTTCCCAGAGCAACCTGGTTTGCACACACCACTCAGCTGTCGACACAGGATCTTGGCTGAAGCGGTGGTAAAACAAACGGCTGAAGGAGTTGAAAGTGATTGATGCAGGTGCCTGGAGTAGATCTGATTTTGAGGGGGATCCCTGGGGTCAGGGATGACGCCGACAAGCTTGGTGTGCATCAGAGTCACGTAGAGAGTGAACAAAAGCCCCGGCTTATGGACCTGGGACAGGACCCAGGCCCCTGTAATTCACCAGTGCCCTGGTCCAAACAGGACCAGCCTCCAAAGCAGATTCGGGCTGAGCTGGAATCCACTGTCCTCCCGGCCCTCCCCTGAGCTTACTCCAGAGATGGACAGTGGGGGAATGCGCTCCAGCTGCACCCAGGCAGACCCCGGCCTACACATGAGAAGAGGCTGATACCCTCAGGCTGCTCTCTATTCAGAATGTAGGTATTGAAGCAGCAACTCTGACCCACTCTCTGTATGGGCCACAGACACACAAAGCGTATATAATGCAAGCCCCAGGTACCATGGGTTGTGACATGTATGTGCCCGAAATACATTAATAGCACATTGACATCAGAAGCAGTTCTTTAATTACATAAAACAGGAACAAAAGTACGTATTTCTTGAGAGCAAAACTTACCTTGTAATTGATCTTACAGACTTGTTATGAGGATTAAATAAGAATGCATGTGAGAACACCAGGAGAGTTCCTAATGTGTATCACGGGGGTACCGGGAAGGTTTAGTTAAAAAAACAAAAACAAAAATAAACTCCCCCAAACCGGAATCTCTCCCCCTATCAGGTGCCAGGGCACCTTTGGATTTAGTGATTGCGCGGACCATGATTACAGCTCT